CATAAAAATACCTTTTATATGAAAATGTTTAAGATTTAAAAAATACTCAACAACATATATATATATATATATATATATATATATATAGTAACCACGTACTTTATTAATATTTGTAATCTGTACGATAATCTGCCTTATAACGCAATTATAATGCATTATTATTTGTATTTATGTCCAGGGATCTTATCCGATCGGTTTAAATAGTATTTGCGATCATTTTAACTAGTAGGTTCCAACTGACGAAAATTAGATTTAAATTTGTGTAGTTAAAAAAACCACATACACAACATACGCGGAGCATTTATTTAATAAGGAGATGTGTTTGTGTCCAAATGGTATAGTAAGATTTTATACACAGTGTGCCCACTAGAAAATCATGAATTAGTAGATTTTGTAAAAAAATATTTTGTTTTATATAGGTAGAAAATTCTCGTACTAGTGATAAAAATGGTAGGTTAGGTTAGGTTTTAACGGGGAGGTTTCTCTGCTCACTGAGGTTCTTTATGGAGAGAGGAATGAACATGCGGTGTGTATTCGTTGTAAAATATCCTGACACACACACATATAAATCGAAAATCCATTTCGATGATTCTGTAAAAAAAAAATTATTATTATTATTCGATATTTCGATGTATGTGTGTGTGTGTATATGTAATGAATACGCAATAAATGTTTACTTTTAATATAGTGACGAGAGTATACTGAGTGCATACATAGGTAACAATGACTCGTATAGGGAAACGTTCGAGTAAGAAGCCCTCCATCTGTCAGAGACGACACTTAACGAGACTCGAAGGTTTTTTTATAGTTTTTAATAATATCATATATTAATTTATTTCTCCGCGTATCTATAGATTTTTACAGCGATGGATAATTGAACACAATTTTACTTACGATCACGAAACGAAAAAGCAAAAAAAGGACGACATCGTGCGAAACACGTACGCTTTCGAGGCGACAATGACACGATAGAAACACTCGGCCAACGTCTAAACGGAAAAAAAATCGTTCAAAACATCAGTTTAAGTGGAATTTTAGAATTTAAAAAACACAAATGTTATTAGATTTTAAAATATATAAAAACAAAGCCACCGAGCCTACCCGATTGTACTCATCAGATTATATTCGGATTATATTTGTTTCGGCTAACGAAAATAATAACCGTCAGAAAATGCAACACTAACTGTTTAAGAGGATGCGACAGTGCCGTAACTAGACATTTTTGTATTTTATTAATTATTTAGATTATTTTTGTGTACTAATTAATTGTTTTTTAATCATAAGGTTCTGAGACGACATCGAGTAATACCCGCATGTGCTGACACATGACATGTTACGTTGTAACATTCGAATTGATTGACCTATAATACCAAACTTAATAATAATGCCACGGTCTGAAGTATTTTTACGTCGGATTTTGTTGTTTTAATTTAATTTTTTTATTGTTTTCATGCGAAATATTGAATTCGTATAATTCGAAAAATTACTATACGTTTAATGAAAACGTTAATACAGAGAAATTATTTCTAAAGTCAAAAATATCAACAATTGAACAAATTACACAATAAATTATCATTTATAAAAATGCACGGAAATAAAAACAAATTTGAATTACATGATTCTTATCAACCAAGAGAGTTAGATAATAGTAATTTAAAACCGATTAAACTTTGTACAATGTTAATAGAGAACTATTTTTCAGGGGAGTTGCCCGATAACGTTAAGTGAATTCTTCAATTTACAAATAAACCTGTAATAAACTACGCATGCAATATGCATTTTTTATGCAATTATTTGATTGGTATCTCGACCTCTTTTCTCATCAGTATCTAAGTAAATATCAAACTTATTTTAATTCTTAATACTTATTAATAATGTCATACTTGCATTTAATTTTTATAAATCGTTTTGTTTAATATTTATCAAACTTTAAATTGCTTGTATTCAAATACCGTGTATTATTTTATATAGATCTCCTGTTCCGGCCACAAGCTTACAATTTACTGGAAGTCGGTATCAAAGTAAATAAAAACATAAATATGATATCTGTATACAATAATTGTATTAATGTATGTATAATAATTTTGGTTTAAATAAAATGCATACTAACTGCATTATATTATTATGGGAAATATCGTAATTATTTCTCTCGACTGCTCGACTCTCGTTAAAATATCGACAAAACCGAAATATAAACGCAGATAATGCTCGTATCTATTTTATATTTGATACTTTGAAAACGGTAATCCTCTTAAGAGCTTCACAGTTAAATTTGCCGTCTCTGTCGGGCTAACGGGCAATAAAGCAAAAATGTGATTTCGTACTTTCATTAGTAAATGAAAAGGTCGTAAATATTTTCAAAGAGGAATTTTTTAATTTGGGTATTTATTTAAATACAATTTACTATTAAGAAAAAAAAACAACTATTTGTTTCGTTAAAGTTTCAAGTATACGAACGGATAATCTGGGAAATATATGTCTACAAATTCCCCTTTGAAACCGTATAATTTAATGTATAGTCTACAGTTACGTTATTGAAGTGCGAAAACATATTTTGTCTGTATCACCCGATATTAGACAATCAGAGACGTCAAAATAATATGTCATATACAGTCACGCCATCTTGAGTATTATTTGTGTTCCGACTTCCGATGACGGACTTTAGAAGCCGGAACCTGTCGTGTAACGAAATCTAAATTTGATAATAAATAGATACTCACGAGGCCTCGCGTCGTCATATCCCAATGGTGAAATGTATAATTTTTTTTTAGATTGTATTATGGTTGTATTTACCGGCAGCGGTATCGGGACACCGGAAAGCAATATTATTATTCGCGGACGACGTGTGGTTCCGTTTTACGCGATAAGTCGACGAATATCTGCGTAATAATGGCAGACGTCACGATCGTTATTGCAACTCTGTGCTACCGTACTCGTCACGATTCCTGTCTACCAGTGTTTGTTTAGGTGCACATTAATTATGAAAATAAAAAACTCTCGCGCCGCGCGTTATAAATTATGTTTATAAAAAAAAAAATAACCATAATGAACAGCAGAACTCCGTCACTATATGGAGTCGAGTTTTCCCCCACCCGTTTCGTATGATAGAAATATTCGTTGTAAAACAACAAATAACCGAATGCTGTATAACATTACTTATATAATCATACAATATACTGATATTATATATTGGTGGCGATATGACGGAACTCGCGAAGTATGTTATCTACACCGAAAACGTATCTACCGTAACCGTTATTCGTTCGCGTTATATGTTAATGTTATCCACAATATTTCACCCCTCGTTTAAGGTGTCGTCTATGAAAATGTGCGTTTTTATATTTAAAAAAAAAACGATTTTTGTGTCTACAAAAACAAACAAAAATTATCCTCGGCATTGAGTGACCATGCGACCGCCCTTCCATTGACTGCCGGTCCAATAGGTTGGTAGCACCATGTGTTTTAATGACGTATTTTACTTTGAGATGTCTCCATGCAGAATCTAATAGTACGTTATACTTTGAGTATTGGCCCCTGTTTCCGGATCAATGGAGCGCAGCTAATTTTCTGACGATTTACGGTCTTATGCACATAGCCGCTAAGATTGTTACGGGCCCTCCACTATATTGTCTGAGTGAATTTTTGGATCTCGCTTCTACTTCACCTCTTATATAATGATGAATAACCTAGCTCGATCCCGCTGTATTAATGATATTTATAGTTATTTATAGTTATACGTAACACGTGTATACCTACGACATGAGAACACACCGTCAACGTTCCGACCCATATTTATCACCCGAGACGTATATAACATAACATACAACGTGATAAACATTCGCATACGGAGAGATATCGAATATTTGCAACCGATGTTAAAACGATACCCGAACCGATATTTGAAATCAAAAACCATGCGTGAACATTGAGCTCATTTGGTCCAGAGGAAGCCGCTAAACGTGTCCGAAATTAGCGGGAAAGAGATAAATATGCATAAAAAATGCAATACAGTGATATATTATGTATTCGAATACATTTCGATGAAAATATGTTAAAGAGATCAGGAAAGATAATATTACATTGTTTGTCTAACACATTATCAGTATAATAATTTATACTAATTTTCCAACAGTCCATCTGATCGATGTTTCGAGGGAAAAGAAATTTAAAAACATCTGTTTTGAATTCAGCATAAAAGTATACATGAGATTAACGAGGCCACTATTTTCAATTTAATTTTAGTTGTTGTTTAATACATTTTTAAAAGTTTTAAAGTCATCAAATAAAATGTTTGGAAATTTAAGATTAAAAATTAAAAAACTTGGCTGTGCATTTCACGCTGAATTCGAATATGTTTTTAGAATTCTTATCGCTTAATTGACTACACTGATCGCCGAAAAATTAGTTTAAATTGCTATGCTGTGCGTGTGTTTCACGTAGAAATATCGATATCCAAAGACCCTAAAAACACTTTACTAACATTCATATATAACTATCGACAACTCATTTTTCTTGCTTTTTGAGCGGACTTTCATCGCTTTTGGTATCTTCCATTCCTTTTCTCAGATCTTTTCAGATATAAAAGTACTCAAGAATACTCGTAGATTTTAAATTTAAAAAAAATAAATTATCTTTCAACCTAAATATTTCAAAATCGATATTTTTTACCTTGTCGTAATGTACATTACGTCATTTATCCGTCACCACCTCCACATCCTGACAATCGAATAATACGACTTGTTATAGGCACTGATTTCACTCAAATTCTGAACGGTATTTTAATCATTATAAAATTATATCAAAAAGGATAAACAATAATTAAAATATATTGATTTCAAAATTTAAGATGAATTTATTTCAGTTGTACGTATATTTTTTAATGTACCCGCAGTTATATTAATTGTATTGTAGCATTCTAAATAAATAAATACATAATTGCAATAGTATTTACAGTTATCGGATAAAATATATTTAAGAAACAAAAAAAATCGTATATAATTTACTAATTTATTACGGGGTGGATAAATATAATAATTTTCACTTGCAGTGCTCTGAAAACATCGTTTCCGGTTAATGCATCAAAATCTAATTAAATTCACACAACGGCCGGGTCTTCTTCGCTAGATAACAAATCGTTATCGACAACCGGATTTATAGCGACGTCATGCACCAGCGGATTCATCGGCAAAATTGACACTTCTCGATTTAGGAGATCGTCCAGTTCCATTTTCAACAAATCTGTTTTCAAACGTTTCTTTTTCGTTTTCTGTGTCATACCAGAATTTACCTTTTGCGTGTTCTGTTTATTCGATTCTTTATAATCACTCATATGGACACCATCATAATTGTGTGCGGCGTCCCGGATGATTTGCTGTCGCTGGTCATCGTTTCGGAGTACGTCCACATTTTTCGCTTTGGTCATGCTGCCAAGATGGAGGAATCTGGGTTTATCTCCCTGTAATATTATTATTATTTTGAGTCAACACAATCTTTTATACACTCGTATAATATTATAATTCAACGCTATCTGTTTTTAATAAAACACTAACCGGCTTCGCTAGTTTAAATTCGTCGTATGGCCGAGGACCGTTCTTGTAAATCGGCGGAATGTCTTTGGTCCCGTGTATGGACAGTGTCATTTCTAAAATTACACCGGTATTTGACGATTTTCCAGTCTGCGAGTGACAAAGTTTGGAATAATATATAGGTACATAAAATTACTAATTGAACAGTTTTAATTTTTTTTACTGAATTAAAAAAAATTCTAGTAAACATCATACCGTATCGAAAACGTCGATGATGAAATTTCCTTTCGGAGATTCTCCCCAAAAAGCGAGTATTGTAAAAGTCCATCTATTTAATCCACGAGTGTTAAAATCTTTCGGTCGGCTATCCAGAACGCGACATTCCGTTCCTATGAAAACAAAAGTTATAATTAATTAATAAATTTAATTAACTAATAAATATTGAATAGCAGCTGTATGTAACTCAGTGGAGTGCATAGGAATTTTTAACAATTGACTGGAGACATGCTATGGCATTTAGACCATCCTTACTTTAGAATGACTGTGAAACTTTGTTAAAATGAATGTATTATATAGAATTTTACCTCCTCCCACCCTTAATATTGAATCATACATTTTCTCCGTCAAATTCAAAACACAGGGTAATAAAATTATATTTATCAAAATATTTCAAGTATTTATGGAGTTTTCCCTTAAAACTTTCAACCGAATAATTTGTTACAATACAAAATGTAAGCTATTAAAAATATGTTAATTTTTCAAAGCCATTTTCATATTTCGCCAACCGACATAATATCGTCACTAAAATAGAACGTAACTCAACATTTTATAAAATTAAACCAAGTGTTTCCGAAAATGTTTTGTTCTATAACTTTTTTCGTTAGACTCGTAGTTACACTGTCATTCCCGAAAATAATAACACGATATCAAACATTCTAAACCTTATGTCAACGTGACATGTCTCCGCAAATAACACATTACAATAAAGTTGAGTTAAGGGTTATTTTATAAAATGATTTTGGTCATCCTGTAAAACGACAACAACTACTGAAATAATTACTATTGCAGCATACTTATAAGCGACGATATAATACAACTCAAATATTATAGGTGACACTGGTCGATAATAATAATATTATTATAAATACCAAAATACCTAATGGTGATCTTATCGCTATTTGAATGTCTCCTCTTTTCGGATAAGTCATCGACAGCACCAATTGTACGAATTCTATATAATTTATTTCACCGGACAATCCTTCGCAGCCAGTCGAATTCACAGTTATGCGGACAGCTCTACTTCTCGATATGGGAAAACCACTAAATAAAATATTACGAAGTTTATATTATTAAAATACTCCTTTTTTTTTTTTTTTTTTTTTATATATATATAGTTCTGAGAACATTTATTATATAAATTACTGCATTTACTCATACAAAGAAAATTTGTAATACTTATTCTACTAAAATATATACAAAAAAAACATTCCAGCTAAACATTAAAACTTTGGTTTGATGTCAAAACCAATGAATGAAGAAAATGTAATAACGATGAATTTCAAATTCAATTCCAATGGCCCAAATAAGTTAGAAATATCGCTAAAATAAAATCTTTTGAGAGATTAAGAAGGGTAGATTGTGTTAAGTAGAGCATTGAGGCAGTAAATCCGGAAGCTCAATAGCTTTTCATTCTACCAGGCTGTAGATAACAGGTAAGTTTTGTAAAAGTGGTATGATTTTTAAAGGCCGAAACCAAGCAGAAGACGAAAGAAATAATAGTTAGAATTTTATTTCCATATAATTCAATAAAAATTTAACCAAATATTATAGCGAAAATTGAAATATGATGTTCATTATTCACGATGTATTATTATTTTTTAGATTTCATACACACTACTGGGCGGTGTACCTACCGAACTTTAGGCATACGTATACCGCATGATGACATTTCCGGGACGTTTTGCCAAGTTTGAGCTTCCTTGACCAATTTATAAGCGTTCACAAGCCCGAATCCAAAGTCCACCGAATAGTAAAAACCCGCCTTGTTCCGGTTCCATCCGAAGTTATCGCTCAACGGTACCACCTGAGACGTCCACACTAAGAGATACTGCACATCTCTCCACGTCAATTCTGGACTGTACAAAATATTCGAGAAAAGAAACTGTTAAAATTCGATTCGTTTAAAATTGTGAAATGTGTAATACTTACTTGGCCGACAAAGCTAGCGCTATAATACCGGACACCAATGGTGCCGCTGCAGACGTACCCGTATGTTTGTCGGTGCACTGTCCATTTACATCGGTGGTCAACTGTAAAGAAATAAAAGCAACATTTTAACTCAAGACTAAGTTATAATAATGAACGCATTTTACACATATACAGACAAATTTGTATTACAGTCATTTTATCATGTAAATATTCAAAGCAAAGAAATACGTGTAGTACAAAAAGTAGTTCGATTCATAAACATCTAAAATGGTTTTTTACATTTGTTTACTGCCTCTTTTGAGATGGTTTGTGGGTCTACCTTTGTAATTCAAATAGGAACCTTTACTCAAAATTCCATAAATAAATGAAGTGTTAATTTAAATAAATATTGATGATGATATTTTTTATTTCCAACAATATGTTGACAAAATATTCCACTTTTTAGTTTATGTGGGGAGAGAATAGTGAACGACTATTCAAACACCTTACGTCATGTACAACACAAGCACACAATGTTCCACTATTCTCTCCTTACCTAAATTAAAATGTGAAAAAGCTTGTTTTTTTAAAGGAATTTTTAATATAAATTCCCATTTAAATTTCGAAGGTTGAACTCACCCCCCCCCCCAAAAAAAAAATGTACAATCTATTTTAGATGTTTATAAATCGAAAAACTTTTGTGTTATTCATTTTTCTCTATTATTTGAATATTTACATGATAAAATGGTTGTAACATACATTTTGAATCGACCTGCATACTTTTAACCGTATCACCATTAATTCCCTTTAATTCTAAAATTAAAATACAATTTAGGTTTTGTAACGCGAATAACTAATAAGGATAAATAATATATTATTGAGACTTAAATGTACATGTTTAAAATACGATGTCAAAAAACAAAATAAGATATTGACATTTTTAAATATTCCGAAAAAATATTTCATTGCAATTAAACTTGCATTACCATGCGTATAATTTCTTTGGGTATCATTCTATTATGTTTTATTATTCCATAACGATTTGAAAAAATTACAATATTCAATTTCAAAAATGTGTAGAGGAAAACAATTAATTGTATAGTATGCCGGTCTATGCCGTAAGTAGATTTACAAAAATGTTTTAACCGAACTCTTTAAGATCTATAGAAGCTAAAATTGAGCAAATTGAATGCCTACCATATTTTGACATACAAAAGTATCTTAAATTTTTTTTTAAATCTTAAATCTTCGGAAAACCCTAGCAATACAGGTGAAAGCTAACTAAAAATGTTCTCTTTATCTTCTGAAAAGTGACTAATGAATAACTCACTAAAACCTCAAATGTCAAATATGTATTTATAGATAAATATTTCCAAATCAAATTAATTAGTAATATTTTCAAATTAAAAATATAAATATTATTTTGGAGTGTATTAGGAATTTGTTAAAACAAAAAGAACTTCTTAAAGAAACGAGTTTAGTTTTTAAGGAACGAGGAAGGGTAACGAAATCCTTTTTTTAAATAAGAAATGAGGAACTGAAATGAGTTTCTTTTTTGAAGTCAGAACGAGAATGAAAATTATTTCCTTTTTAAAGAGAACGCTGCAACAGTGCACTATATTCGGTTCACCGCGTTAGTTTATGCAAAAAAATTAATATTTCATGCCCATTCCTAATAAACCAACCTGTTTAATCGTTATTAATGTTTTGTCCTTTCTCTATATGCTCTAATAAATGATCGCCCTTATAAAATTGTGTATTTAATCTAAACTCTAATATAGGTAATAATCTACAAAAAAAAAAAAAAATAAAAACAATTTATAATTTCTATAGCAAACACTTTTGTTTAACCGCCATGCAACTAAGAGGGCAAATTATATTGATTAACTCATAAAATATTTATGGTAATGTTTGCGATAAATTTTGTGAATAATTTTAATAATATAGGAAATAAAACGTTTTAAAAATTGGTCATGTTGTTACATAATATGGCATAAACAAGTATTTCATTGTATTATTAATGCAATTTGCGCTCTTGGTAGATAGCTGAGTTTCCCGTTTACTCGTAGGCTCACGTATAGATTATTAAAGTCAGCTATTTAATATTTGAAGTTGTTTTATATATCTATGATGATTACAGTATACAGAGTATTGCGGACAGTGATTCACACGTATATTTCGTAGTGTATAACTGCAAGATTTTCCGTGATTACAGCAATTAAGAATAAAACACGAAATCAATTACTGAATATTTCGCTAAAGATGCGGATTATTAGATTAGTTTGACCGGATCTATTGAGCCGAAGAAAATCATCGAGAGAATTATAAAATTATTTGTACAGCCTAATGGTCACCAATATTATTGCGGTTAATAATAATAATAATAATTCATATTCGTTATTGGAACCAAGAAATGATCGCAGATTCCACTTTAATCGTTATAATGTGTTGAATTAAGTCTCAAGAACTATACGTTTTGAAAATAAAACCCAAAGATTTTACTTCAATTAGAACAAAAAATATATTTTATTTAAATACTTACATCAAAAAGCAGGATATATTGAGTAATTTAATGTATATTAAAGAATTTTATATAAAGAATTCATTGTTAACGATTCTGGGTGAAATTCGATTAAACATATTTCAAAATTAAATTATTTTTATAATTTTCGTTAAAATTTGAACCAACGCTTACGGAAAAAAGAGGAGTAAATTACGCAATTTTTTTTTTTTAACCTCTGTCCAACTAATAATAAACCTCTTGTTAAATTTCCAAAAATTTTAGCCCGGGGAATGCACACGAAAATATAACACGAAATTCATCAATCGTCATTATAGGTTTTACTCTATATAGTAGTAAGAAGAAAAAATTAAATTGTAAAGCAGTAATTTTTTTTTCATAAGCATTAAAAATCCAAATTCAAAATTTCAAAATATATTTAACCGAATGTCTCTTTGAATTATTTTTCGTTATCGATGATTTATCGTTGTGTACACATATATGTTAAATTATTCTATGTACCCTACTTTCCCAACTTTCCACCTACAACTAGTGGCACGCCGATCAATAGTAACAATTATTTTTAAACAATTTTTTGGATGAAACCAAAATGAATAATATTATTTTTTCGTTTAAAAAAAGTGATTATTAATCACTGATTACAATTATATTAGTAATACCAATCGGCGTATGAGTATTTGTTAGCTACTAGTCACCTTATAGTGTGCATAGGAGGTAAGAACCATGTATGCAATTGTTTTTAGTTTATTATTTTTTTTTTATTATTATTATTCTATTTTTTTACGTGGTTTTTAAAACTTCTTCTAAAACGCCTATTTTGGCGATTTAAAGTGCTTATACACCGGAACACTGTAGTATAAAAACGAAAATGCAAATACAACTTACCACGTTCTTTTCGAATCCGGCACCACTGTATGCCGTGGCAATAATCGAAGCGCATCTTTCGGAATAATGAGTAACGTGACCGCTGTCGTCACAACTAGCAATGACTATTGTGTAGATGGAGTTGACGAAACCGTCGCAAGCGCAGTTGTCGCCGTCGGCTTTTCCGTTGCCGGCGGCAAACACGTAAATCACTCCTTTTCCATCCCGACCCTGCAACGATCGGACAAAATATTTCAGTATATTTCGATAACACTATTAGTAATAAAAACATATTAGTTACGACCGTTATCAATACCATTGAATATAGATACTATAGATTCGACGCTATAATATTCGTATTTGGAAAAAAGTACCAATTGTTAGGGAAAACTGGAACCTAATCGTACCGAAATTGTACCTTGTAAAGTATACAGGCTCAAAATCCGAAACTATTAAAGAAGATTACGAAGGACATTAGGCTCGTCCGATATTGATTCATCACGTTCACTCATAGACATCACTATAGTTTAAATGCTGGAATAGGAAAATTAAATTATCTACAAAAATTGTACATTCTGTTTATTTTTCAAAAGTGAAAAAATGTGTCGCTCTTTAACATCCAAAATTCCATACAAAACACTTTATTTAGCTAATCCAGTTTTATGTAGCCAATTTTATAACATTGCAATAATTATTAATATTTAAACTCAATTTTTTTTTTATTTTTAAATTTAAACAAAAACCGCACACTTTGTATACACCTGCACGTTAGGGCAATTACTGGTTTCAAGTATTGATTTATACTTTATTGGCTTATTACACACTTATTAAAAATTAATTCAAACTGTTTACAGTTACCAAATACCATTCTTATTATTTGTAATTTGACTACTTATTTCAATTTCATTTAGCTAGTTTTTTTCCTAATATAGTATCAAAGAAGTGTTTTTATAAAAAAAAAAAAAATTGATTGTTTTATTATTTATATTAAGATATATATTGATTATTTTATGTAATACAAATATATTTAGCATATTTTACAAAAACAGCTCACACAGGAAAAAGTAATTAACCCCTGTTACCTAGGCACGGTCCTGTGTATGTCTATACACTACGAAATTGATAGCCGATAAGTCTAATTTCTCCACGACTTTTGACAAAACAGTAATATATAATGTATTACTTGAATATTGCATTTGTAATCAATGAAACATTGACATTGAACGAGTAATAAATCGGCAGATATCGTAAAATGAAAAATGTTAAATGTAATATGTAATTTAAAACATCCTGCGTTTACTTGATGTATGCCTTTGGTAAATGACATTTTGATTAGATCGCTCAAATGTTCCATGATTGTTCCAGTGTCCGCGGGGCCCCACGAATTACTGTAAATGCATACATACTCAAGAGCGTATTTTAATACCTTAGCTTCCCTGGCGTCTGTCGACGTCTCGTCCAAAAACTTTATACCTAAAACGACGAAAACATTAACCGATTATTACAAAAATTATTAAATCCATTATTTAATTTCAGTTTTATCGCGAACTACAGAATAACATTTAAATAGTTTAATGCCATAATATTACCTCCAATATTAGCTCCGTAGGCTGCTCCTACTCCACATATTTTGTTATTCGCCTGCATGATGATTTCTCCGGCACATCTAGTGCCATGTGCTTTTATGTCTCCGTTATCGTCTGTACTTGGAGTAATATTTTTATTGTTTAAAATGTAATTCCAACTTAATTCTTGCTTCTGAAACCAATAATTTCGCATTATTATAATACGGATTCATCGCAAATTCTACAATAATAATTTTAAAGCTCGTTGAACTGTTGAATAGACAATAATAATTATATTATGAACCCAATATTATAATATTAATGGTATCTTTTTTTTCTTCGGGGTACAAAATCGACCTCTCGGACTATCCCGTCATATATCTAGGACTTCAACCATCTCTATCTAATACTCGTGCTGTCCACATTCTAATTCTCATCCCAGTGGCGTAGCGAACATAGAAATGAACAATTACTACCCAGTACCTATTATGAATTTTAGCTAATATAATATCAAACACAGTTTATGGAACTAACAGCATACGTACTGAACAATCCAGCAAGTGTTTTTTATAACATTCCTATATAACTAATTGGGATTTATTAAAAATACAATAACTAAAAAAAATAAATAAATGAATTAGTAAAATTAACTCTCCACATATCAGTAAACTAATATTTTTATAAAGTGGGTTTTGAATTACCCGCAAATCATATATCAGTACATCGCTCACCATGTCACTACCTCATCTCAGTTTTTCCACGTCTTTCTTGACTACGTCTTTCCACCGAGAATGCCTTTCCTGTTGGGTTCTTTTCCAGCACTTAGTATAGTCATTAATAATATTATAGGTGTAGCTTTTTTAATCGTATTCATGTGTTATAATACATTAATTTAATTTAAAATTCTTTTAACTCACAAAACTTGGTAATATTTCTGGATGTGACCATTGTATTCCGTCGTCTGGTACCGTGATGTTTACACCTTGTCCGGTAATTTTAAGTTCAAAAAATACCGGTACTATATTCATATCAACTACTGGTTGGTTTTCGGAAGTTCGATAATCTTGCTGAAAAAATGTATACGATTTCGATATAAAAAAAAAAAAAACATATTTATGGTTTCTAACTTGTACTGCAGTGAGTCTACAGTTCCATAATAGGTAATTAATTTTGTATATAGGTATAACAATTAAAGTAATTTTTTTTTTGTTCCTTTTTAGTAACAATTTTTCTTATTGTTTCACTACAATTATTATTTTGTTTCTATTGACTATACAAATAATAAAACGATGTATATAAAGAGAGTAAGTATTATTAAACTCGTATTTCATGGTTCAATAATTACAAAAAATATAAAAACGTAATATTAAACTACACGTACCTACAAAGAAATATGAGCAATAAATATATTTAATTGCATTTTTTAAAAATAATTTATATCTACTCGTTTTATTTAAAATAATTATGTAACATTAACTGCAATACCATGTACGCCTATAGATCATTGTGAAGTTCTACATTGAAAATTTCTACTCAGAAAAAAAAATATACCTATATATAGTTACAAAATAAGCTGAATGATGTGCAGGAAACGACTTTCAGTCAGTCTGAAAATAATTGTTTTTGACAGGTTTAAAATTTGACTTACTTTTCATATATATGTTAATTTAACTTAATATCTATTATTAAAATTAGTTGAGATTTATAAATTTATACGACTGTATGAGTAAAACACTGAAACGTATTAAATTATACATGTTCAGTAAATTCATGTATAGACATTTATTTAATACAGATGCACATGCTTCAGCATTTCTATTTGACCTAACGATTTTATCTATATGAAAATAAAATAAAAACTAAAAAAGCTCAAAATTGTTAAATGCCTAGGTATTAATAGCTCAAATATAGACAACATTTTATTTCAGAAAAAATGATATTCTTGAAATTTGAAGCATTTCTTGTTACAAACAAAAATTAAAATAACGGAAACTTTTATATTTATTTCCGGTTTTTCCAAATAATTATTAAAATTATAAAATTACCTCCTCCATACACAAACTAAATTCATAATACAACAAAATGGTTTTTTTTTTTTTTCGTTTTTTTGGTCGGATTAATATTTCTAGTAGAAAAATTGTACACTAATACAAAAAAAATAAGCGTATATCATAATCAAACCAATATATTCTTCGTTCCACTTAGAATCTAACAAAATGTGTGAAATTTAGTGGTGGATGTTTAAAATTATAATAAAAATTTACGACACCAGAAAAAAAAGTATAATAATAAATTAGACAAAGGTATACGCACAGAAGATCGACTGTTTAGAAAATCCTACTCGTTACTATTGTAAATTAATAATATTAACGAAGTGTATTCAAATAAAATAAAACTTTTTATTTTGTTTTCAATAATACTTACAAAGTACCACATATCGGGCCACCTTAAATCATTGAAGGCATTTATGTAGTTGCTAATCATTTTTTCCTTCTTAAAATACGACATATGACTGCGCCGTACTGAATTGGATGTTTTGGACGATGTAGTAGTGGATTTCGGAACAACGTGTCTTGGATAAACCGCACCGCGATACGATCTCGCCTTTACAGCTTCTTGGATGGCGGTAGTTACCTTTGCGAAGAGATTTCCAAAAATTATTAATAGGTACAGGTAGGGGAGACCGGGGACAAAAATAACACGCTTAATTTCATCTTCTACGATAATTATTTAAAATTAACAGTAACAGAATCATTTTCGCCACCACGTGGGACATGATTTTGTGAATGATATATTATTGTCATTTTGTCGTTTGCTTATTTTACTCATCGACAAAACAACAAAAACTGATTTTCTCTTTAACTACTTTCATTTTTGATCATCACTTGAAATTATTATATTTTTATTATAAATATATTATTTACTTAATGTTTAACATGCAAACGGTTTGATCAGAAATATTGTCCACTGATGACAAGCATAAGCAAATTCAACGTTATTAAATTAAATCTTTTTAATATGGATTTATATCAGAACTTCGAGTATGGTTTGAGAATTTTTTATAAGACTGCTTTTTATTGTATATTTTGATAACAATCTATCATTAGAGAATCCAGAAATATGTTCTGAACCAACACGTTAAAAAATTTAAACTAATCATTCTTTTTCAATATTTTGCTTTAATCAAAATCAAATATGATATTAATATAATATTTATGATTTATTAATGCAACAAGATAATGAAAAACGTGATAATAGATTGGGTAAACAAATATAAAAGAGACCCCGTTTTTAAGAAATATATGTGTTACTTTTATGTTTCCATCTTGATCGAATTTTGATATAAAATAGTGACATAAAAAAAAAAAATTTAAATTGACTTACAGTTTTTTATGACTTCAGTTATTATTTCCACCAAAGCATCCCCTAACTTGCAGCTGAATTGGATATTTCGTAATTTTAAATGCCTAATTTTATTGATTTTGTTTATTATAAAAACGTTTATAAATTAGACTTTTTAAATAACTCGCTCAGCGTTACTATTACAACGTCACGAAATTTGTAATCCTCCATCAATTAAAATATTAACCTTAGTTATTTTTTTCCTTTACTAAAAACAAAATTAATATACAACGCTTAGAATATCGTTAGTTTCCCCGAGTTAAGTCTAGTGTTAAACACTAACGATTTATTTACAAATAACTTACCACCGGTTTTAAGTTTTTAACTGCATATATTTGTACTACTATAAATTGAAATATTGCTAATTAAATAAAAAATACTTTATCCTTACTAAACTATGACTGTTTAACCGATTGGTAATATCCTCGTTGTGATCGAAAGATTTGAGTGGAAGATCGTCTTTGGCCATTACATGAAAACCATCATTGTCATAATCCTACAAAGATAACGACGATTTTATTTTATTAATCTTTTGTCATTGATTAAATACTTCACAAAATAAATAATTTATAATAGTATAATTTTTAAAATAATTATCGAACATTAATACGTTTTTAGTTTTACTTTATAATATATAAATTCGTTTCATTAACAATAAGAAAAAAATCACCCATGAGTACGATAGTTCCATCATAACTGGGTTAAAACTCTGAATTATTAACTAAAAAAAAGGAATGATTTTGTAAAGATATAATTTGTGGTTAATTAGACAGAGAGAACTCGAATGCATAACAGGTTTCAATCGACTCTCTAAAGCTACAAAAAGTAACCAAAAGTAGCGAAAAAAATTAAATTATATATACAACACAGGGCAATAGTCTCTATTTTCAAAAAAATTCTATACAAATTGTTTACGGGTATAAAAGCATATTATACAAGTACAATAAGTATACTGAATTTGAATACACATAATACGTGTATGTGTCTACTGCAACGTAAATTAAATTTCTCAAACGCATTGATGGTTGAAACTTAAAATTCAATTTATTGAGGAAAAAATCAAGATAAAAGAATTTTATTTACTCGATACTTTTTCTCTCACGAACAGTTCCAAGTGACTGCTGCTAAACTATGTGAATGGATAGAAAATTCTATGTTTCAAAATGATAATTGTATTCGGAAATATATTTAAAGTTTCAGAAAAGTTTTATGCCACTGCAACCGCGACAAAACTTTCGGTGACCAAGTATATGGTAAAACAATTAATTGGATTCTCTGCAACGAGTCAATGCCTATACTCTTATTGATGAAAGTAAGTATATCCTTTATACATCTCGCATTTTATTTAATTAATAAAACTTGAAGTAGGGTTTTTTATTAATTATTATTATGATTATTTTTTTTTTTTATTATTAGTTTATGTATATAAGGTTCACTAAAATATCTCGCGTTACGAGATTTTGTAATATTACAAAATTAATAGTAAACAATTTGATCAGTATTATTATAATTATACCTGTATTAATTCATTCCCTGTAAAATCAATAATATTCAAATACCAATTATTTTATAAAGTTTTTTAAAAAAATATCTAAGTGGTTGATAACAGTTTCTAAAAAAAAATAAACGAAAAATGATTCTAAGCGAAGTTTAGAAAAACATATTTTGGACTTTTTTTTTTTTTTGACCACTAAAACAACTTATATTTAATCTTGTGTTAAATTGTCAAACATTTTATTAAAGAATTGTATTCGAATAAAAACTAAAGGAATTCGAACATTTCAAACGGCTAGAAATAGTTTAAAAATCGTCAAAATATTGTTTTGAAAATTGTACCATGTCTATAGAAATTTAAATTTAAATATTGTGAAAATGTCAAGTCCCTGTAATTATTTTTAATCTAATTACGACAAATAGATAAAACAAAATTCCCCCCCCCCAAAAAAAAAAAAAAAATGTTATAACGTACATCTTTCCGTTTTTTCTAATGTTTTTTTCCGGGTTTTTATCCGAGAAAAAACAAAAAATTACATTACCAATGCAGTAGCTAAATAAAATTTGATACCAGAAACCAATCAGCGCTACCTGCGCTCAGACTGTTAAAAACATATATTTTCCAAATAATATGCTGAAAACAAAAATATAATATGAATCGTGTATAACGACATTATTATAAATCATAAAAGTTTTATTATTAAACGGTTGATGGTATTATCATCTTTTTCTTTTGTAAAGAATAAAATGCTTATACCATGGATTTTCGTTCCACGACGCAATGGATTACATATATAAATTCGCCTTATTATTGCAGTCCTTTGTAAAGGGTGCAGTTTTAACACGACGGAGAATGCAATTTGTTGTTGTCAGGATGATAAACAAAAAAAAATGTATACATATATATACAAAACTAATAAATCTTGACTCTACCGCGCGACGTACATGAAGTACACATGGTGTATATCAAATAATATACGGCAATTATAAATTTCCCACTACAGATTTAATTAAATTCCAAAAGGAAACGCGCAATTTAATATACACAATTTGAAAAAAATTAAATTTTAGACAGAACGTCGGGATAGTCTGTAAAGGATATATGGTTATTTACAATTTATACTCGTATACAGATAACAACGATTGCAATCAAAATAATAAACGGACATACTTCCCACAGTGGGTGGGCCACTGTTTTAGGTGGAAAGTACGGAAAGTAGAGGAAAAATTGAAAGTATATTTTCTGTACACAAAGATTAATCATTGTTAACGAAAAACAATTCTATAACACATGACATGTTATACGAATTGATTATACATACTTTGAAAAGCCGTAATATTTCCGATTCTGAGCGGCGAGGAATGTATGGGTTTTACAATGATGTTTTTTTTTGCCACCAAAAATGTTGTTTTGATTTTTAACTGTAGTACTTTTACTGAAAGTAAATCTGACTACGAAGGTAAATTTTTGATTATATTTAGGGTTTTCATAATAAATGGGAAAACCCGGGGGAAAATGGAAAAATTAACTAAATGTATTATTTTCAAACAGTAAAAATGACGACTTTTCAAAACATGTACGACCGAATTCCGCTCAGAATTGATTTTCGTTGGAAATTTGTTGCGTGCATATGCACATTACATTTCCCCTCTACTTTCCCGACTTCTTATCAACAACAGTGGCCCACCCGTTGTGTGAAATATGTCCGTTTGTTTTGTTTATTTGTTTACGAAAACTGTAATACGCAGTACTATTATACTCTCCTGTACACGAAAATATAATATTATGATAACAAACGGCCCGGCGGCGGCGTGTCGTGCGAACGAGCGACTTGTTGATCCGGCGGCGGAAAACTTGTTCGGCGAAAAGCCAAATTTGGGGCTCTCGGGGTTTTCCTATCGGAATCCCGGGACCAGGGTCCGATCCGCGGTGGTTGATCGAAAATAGCCGTGCGGGCGGACGGGGGAGGAATGGATTGAAAGTTCGGGCTTTCCGCGGTGGCCGACGGGAAAACGTTGTCACGCTTGAAGAAAACGCACTACGGTGGCATGCGCCCCTAGTACCTAAAGCTTCGGTGGCTCTGCGCGACAACGTTTCGCGCCGCCATTTCGGAAAGCCGCTGACAACCCCAACGCCGGGCACATGAGTCCCTGGTACGAGTGTCCTCGGTCGGGGTCGAGGTCACAAGGCCGCCCGGCCAACGCTTGCGCCGGACTGCTCGGCGCCGTTCATCGACCGCTGCTCACCCCTCGTGTTACGCACACGCCGCGAAGTCCCTCGCTGGGGTGAGGGAAACGTATATTATTGTTGTTGTTTTGTTTATTTGTTTCATTTTTTTTTTCGTCATGATAATATTATGAACACATCGTATAGCTGTTATAAAACGGATAATGAACCTAAGCGCATTCGACCGAGAGGTTGTGCCGATTGGTTTCAGTAACAAACGGTTCTATGCACATTTAATAATTGTTATCAAAAACTTCGTAATTGAATCGATAAGTTGTTGAACTGATTTCAGCATGCGTAAAATTTGCAGAGCTGTTTAATCATTTAAGTAATAATGATTTTTCTATCGCGATAAACCATAATATTTTCTTGTTACCGTGACGTAATTTTGTGCTGTCGCTGATCCTACTTTACGCTAATGTCGTAATATTTATCATTTAAATTTTATAAAATTTCCAGTATCATTAGTTTATTTTTATCAAATGAATCTCATTATTGTATGATATTTAAAATTACAATGAATCTACCGATGCCGGGGTAATTTGAGGATTGACCAAACCCACTCGAAGATTATGATGATTTAAATTTTAAATACTTTTGTATGGAAAACCCAAGTCAATAAATAGGCCCTTTTCAGTCTCGTTGAAATGTTTTCCCCTTTTGATTTTATCATTCATTTTCCAAAACTTTAATTAAATATGTCTAATTAAAAAGTAACAACTAACAACTATTTGTTGCTTATAAAATATAAAATTGAATTATCACATTAAAATTCACCTATGAAACAAAACTTACGTAAAAAGACTAGTATAATTAAAATGTACATAGCTATAAATCGCTCAAAAATGACTCAAATGTTTTGAAAATTTCACCACATCTAAAAAATACAAATGTAAGATTTGTATTAAAATTTCAAGTCTCTACGAATATTTTCAATTCAATTACAATAAAAAAAACAAAATTTAAAATAATAAAATAATCTTTTCCCTAAAATGTCAAGTTCTTTCTACGTATTTTTTGGTTTTGCTCAGTTATTAATAAAATTACAGGCAAAATCAAAAAACAACTATCTCACTCGGCAACAAAATTAAAAATTTAACAAAAAAGTTCTCTTGTCGTTTTTCTATTGGAGCAATATTTATACTAGAAAACATAATTCATAACAATTTTAAATAATGAAATCGTTGCGTCACAATTTGAAAAAAATATCGTCTTTTTTGGTAATTTCCAATAATTTTGAAAAATGCTTTAAATATAAAAAAAAAAAAAACTTTCTCTGTAAGTAGCGAAATATTAAAAGGAAAATAATCAATCCTTCATTTTTCGATTGAAGCAATATTTCTCGTAAAAAAACATCGTATAAACAAATTAAAAACAATGGAAACGGTAACGTTGCGACGTTTCGTAAATATTTGCCAGTTTTACCTATAATTTTTTTTCGGGTTTTTCCTAATTATTTCGAAAACCTCTTAGAAAATTCAAAAATGATTCCTCTAATGCACCTACTAGACAAAATTTCCTTTCAGAAAAGATACCGTACTATAAACAACGGAAACGGAGTAAGATTTCTATTCGAGAAGTTGCTTAGAGACAGGAAAAAAAAACACACATCATAGTTAAACCAATATAAATAACCTTATTTTAATGAGCTACAAAAAAAAAGCGCATTTTCTTAATTTTTTTCCTCGGTGTAAAACTTCCTATATTCGACTCTGCGTTTAACATACCAACTTGGAAATTTATAGTGTCCCTCGTGAATAAAGGTCTGAAATTAATACTGTATTCAATCAAGTACAAATAATTGTACTAATAGTGCATAATTATGTATTTTGCAAAATGTTTTTTTTCGTTTAAATCCCACCTCTCCACGTATTGAAAAATCCTGAGTACGCCACCAACTTAGTTTAAGACATTAGATTAAGGACGGGAGAGCCACTTCATTTAAAGTATAACTTCATTAACGTGTTAAATTATAAAACTTCGGGGCATTTAAAAAAAATATATACATAGCACTTCAATTACAAAAAATAAGATAATAATTTACTAGCCAAAAACGATCAATACATTTTTAATGGCCGATTTCGTATATTGGTTGTATTACTCCCTCAACCCCACTGTTTTTGTATAATATGTTACTTTTTCCTCGTTTCGAACCCCGCTTTTCTTACAGAAGTATATTACTTAAAAAAAAAATCTATAATAATTTACAAAAAACAAAATAACTATAAATCAAAATCGTAGTAAAGGTATCACTTTACAAGCATAACACTCGTTCGTGACTTTACCTATAGGTTCAATACCAACAAACCTACGCTATCAAATAATATAATAATGTATACCTACTACGGTGATATTACAAAACGAACCAACCAAACGACATTCTTTATTATTAAAATATCCGAGAAATACGACAACAATACGATTATATTACCTACATAAATAAACGTACCTATTATTGATTATTCACGAAAAACTAATACGATGAAATCGATGTGTATAACTTGATCTGCTACAAGTTACAATAATTTCATACAACCAGTACTTCGGAAATGCAATTTTTAAAAAATTAAATTACAAAAATACCGTAAGTATATTTCGTTCTAAAATGATATCGTGTTTAATTTTGATATTTTATCTAGATAGATACTTTTTAGAATCTGAGTAGAACGAAGAAGCTTATAGTTTAACAAAGATTTTAATTTTTTTTTTTTTTGTTATTTGTGCGCAACTTTTCTGAAAGAAAATCGGCGCAGGAAGATACTTTAAATAAGTTACTTTTCGATTTTCTCAAGAGTTTTCTCATAAAATTTGAAAAACCGGAAAAAAAAACGGGAAAATGTACGAAATTCATTACTAAAATATTACGATTTTTTTTTTCCTGTACACAACTTTTCTATCAACAATTTTGCTCCAACATAATGTTTCTAAATTTTACTAGAGATGTACTTTAGAGAGGTCATTTTTCAATTTTTCAGGAGTTTTCTCAGCAAATGTAAAAAACCGGGATAAAACATGGAAAAGTCGGGAAAACTTAAGAAAATCTGAAAAATTGGTACAATATTAAATAAATATTATTAAAAAAAATATAAAAATCTTGTTTAATTATTTTACAACAACATTACACATATATATTGTTGACTAAACATCACTATCAACTGAACTCTGCTCAGAATCGTTTTTTCATAAGCAATAGCTTATTGTAGCTTACACGTATACACTAAATTATTTATAACAGTGACTGCATCCGTCTTCATTATCCTAGGACGTATTTTTTTATCTGATAACTTAAAATCCTTTATGAAATGATCAAATTAATTTCATTTGGATTTATGAGAAAAATGGGAAATAAATTATCCGAAATAAATTGAACCTTTTATAGATAAATTTTACGTTTTCATTATTTATAATATTATAAATATTAATTATTGTTCTGATTCTAACGACACCGTCCCTAGAGCAGGGCGATCGGAGTCCTCTCCCTGGGCTCCGTGCTACATAGATACAATAAAAAAAGTAAACGGCCATAAATCAAATGACCAAAATATACCGACATTTCCAAAGTATAGAATGGCCAAAAACAAAAATGCCTACCTGCAAATATATGGCCACAGAAATAATTTCTAATTTTGTGTATTACCATGCATTTTTCTCTGGCCGTTTTTAATTAGGCTAATTTTCTTCTATTGAAATTATTTTCCAGGAAGCATAGTCACTACAATTGAACACACGACTAGAATCGGAATTTCATATAAATTAATATACTCGTACATATTGTATATTTATAAGAAAAATAAATTTAACACCGTCCATGTTTCATAAACACCACATTTTAATTTCGAAAAATGTAAGCTAAAAACATTGCATATTTTTAAACCTTATATTTGTTTTAAAATTAAATATTTTTTCTCTCTCTTCCTCTATGGTACAGTTTTGTGGATGGTTGAAACTAAAAAAAAAATTCATCTAGCAACTTTAAAATTGAACGGACGTTCAAACTTTTCGCTGTTGTAGCTTTTTTTTATAGTATTTAATAAAATAGGACACTGTGTATAAAGATTCATGATAATGAATATATTTGATGAACTCTTTATATTATAATGGTAACACTATATTACTATGTCACAGTCACTACATTAAAAATAAAAAACCGACGCAATTAAACAATCATAAACAAATAGCAAAATACTGTTTTTGAAATTGTGAATAATTGTGTATTATATAAGTGTACTGCGGTGAACAAAAAATTAATATGCAAGTCATAGACGTGAAAAAATAAAACGGATGATGAAAAAAAAACATAATTGTTCGGATTATTCACTTAGTTGTACACTAGTGCAGTTTGAAGAATTTCGTTTCACATTTCAAACGAAATCCACCGAATCGAATGCAAAGATGTCGATAAAGAGATTGGATTTACAAATGGATTTAAAAGTGTTTAAACACAACGTCTCGCTGCTGAATATTCGAAGTGCTTCGGAAAGTGCGCACGAACTATACTTGAAATATTTTAACGATTCGGAATACTCGTATACCGTATCTATACATACTCGGTGCCGGATGACAAAAGTTAGAAAAGTTTAAAACGACTGGCATAGAGAAATGGCAAATTTGTCGTCCGAATAATACAAATATTCATAAACTCATCCGCAGCTTCGAGAGAAATTGGAGAGAGGTATAATTTAAGACAAGTAGGTATTTGTCTTATATCGTAATTATTAAAACGAGAGAAATGATGATGATGATGTTTATGATAAATAACGACCGAACGTTGATTAGAACGTGATGGTATCTAATGTATACTTTGTTACGAACAAATTGTTTATAATTAATATTAATAACCTTGTGTAATGATGTAGATAATTAATGGAACTCGTATAAAAAAAGCTTTATTCAGAAGTGATGAACCGAGTAGAAATTATTATTTAAAAAAGAGCTAATACTGTAATTTAGAGTTGCGCCACTGTTGTAGATGAAAAGGTAAGAAGGTATAGGGATAAATATAAAGTTATTTAATTTATATCTGTAAACAACGATGAACCGTTGCTAATAAAAACCGATTCTAACCGAAGTTCAGTAAAAATACCGTAATTTTAAAGATGTTCGTCAAAGTTCAAACTTAAAATGCTTATAAAAAAAAAAAATACGCACAGAATCTACAAAAATCACCAAAATGTTTTAAAAAATTTACCTCGTTTAGAAAAGGCCATAAGTATTCTGTTAAAATTACAGCTTTAAACCCAAATTGAAAATAACGAAACCATTTGACGTAAACTTTCCTGTATTTCCTATGGTTTTTCGCAATCATTATGAAAACTGCTTAAAAATCAAAAAATTAATTCTTCAATGCAACAAAAAAAAGACTTTTGTTATTATTATTATTATTATATTTTTTTTTAAAGTAAGATTTCTGATAAAAAAGTTCTATATAGACAGAAAGTACGAGTATACTCTACACACATCATAATAAAACTAATAAACTAGTACTATATAACATTACGCTCAACCTTTGTTTTACCATAAAATACACCTTTTAATGAACTTCGTGTTAAATTTTCAAACATTTCCACCCGGCCACACAATTTTATCTAATATAAAACCAAATAAAAACGATTGCCGGGCTATTTTGAAAATGTTACCACTTTTAGAAAAGGCTAATATCAGCATAACAGTACACAGTGAAAATTCCTATGATTATTTTTACCCGAATCACAACCAAAAAATCAAAACCGAATAATAAATCCTGTAATGCCGTAAACTTTCCCCGTTTTTTTCGGTTTTTCTCAACTATTAAGAAAACGGAAAATTTAAAAAAAATAAACGACTTTTTTACACGTCATAGTGAAACCTTTCAAGCAGCAGAATTTTCTCGACATTACGGTTTTTGAATTATGGCGGTCTAGAATTTATACCAATAAGGGCGGTGTTATAAGTATAATATATTTTCGAAAAATTACGCCTTTTCCATGTAGTTGTATACTATACGCTGTATTTCCGTGTCGTCAACACTACAATATAATAATATATACAGCGATATACAATACGTATATATATATATATGGATACTCACTCGAGTGTTTTTATTCCTCGGTCTGTTCTAAGACGCGCATTGTTATAGGTGTGTATACAGTTATAAAAAAAAAAATATTAACGTATAGATCATAATTCATAATAGACTGCAGTGCACGCGGTATGTAAGCCCTTTTTTCTAGCAGTAGTCTCGTGTGCGTATTCCGGGCTTCAAAAAGAAATTAAAAGTGGCAGCGATACACACTTTTATCGCGCGTATTCTCGTGATCGCGTATTATCGAGATACGATTTCTGGCGAGCGGATCGCACAGCCACCGTCAAATTAATAAAATAAACTCATTCGCGCACACCTATAACCGTAGTAAATAAGCCGTTATCATTATTATTATTATTATATCCGCATTAAGTCCGTCCGCAGTAATTCGTTTTATTATTTATTTTGTACACAATATGTACAAGCACATGTATAGTATACCTACGCGATATTATATTGTATCATATACTTTACCGGTCCTTGGTATTGCATATCGTTGCTACGGGCCACCTCTCTAGCCACCACTTCCCCCAGTGGTACGTGCACCAACCATTTGTTGGTGTAGTGTTTGACGCCCGAGCTGTCGACGCACACCGATAAAAAAAACACGCACACGACCAAAACGCGAAGACACACATAGTTCCATTCTTCCCCCATGGTCGTGAATATAACTGCAGAAAAAATGAAAAAAAAAAACAAAAACAAAATGAATTGCAAAATATTACCAGGCCGGTAGTACATATTTTGTCACGTAGGCTGGTAATACTACGGCCGTTTTTAAAAATATATTCAATCTGCTGATAACACTGTCGTAATAAATCCAATATCTTCGTTGACCGTCTAGAACTCGCCATACGAGCCGTATTGTAATAACAATAATTATGGTACAATACATTTTTGTACAACACAACCTACTCGTTACGGTTTCAAAATCAATGGGCAAAAGGTCATTGCCTCGGGGTTGGTATAGGCACATATGGATGTACGATGTGAAACTCTCCCAAGTTTATTTAGTAATATCGTATGACTGGTATACAAAACAACATTAATAGGTAAAAATGATAATATTATATGATTACAACTTTGGCAATAAAATATACATTAAGATTTCTAATATGGGTCTTCCAAGTACAAGTATGATAATAAGTAAACAATAGTTCAGGAAATCAAGTAAAATCGAAGGAAATGGTTGTCAAAAACTCTCGGAGAGCACTAAAATCCAAAAGCAGAAGAAGGATAGTACATATAATATATATATTATAATAATATACATGTAAACACCACTAATCTACGCACCTTCGTATTATATTACCACATAGCACTTTCCAGTGTTCAAATTCATTTATACATTTATGCAAATTAAAAAAATAACTTAAAAATATACAAATTACAAATGTAAGGAATATTCTTGTATTACACAAGAAAATAAACCATCAGTTATATAATATTATAATTTACGGACAAATTGAATATAATTTGATAACCAACCTTTCGAGTTGTAACCGTATACTATGCTTAAGTATACAAGTAGACAATCTCTGTATTCTAAACTAAATGCAAATTTGAATCACTTTAACATCGCACGACACAGACACTGTATAGTAGTTATCTGCAAAACTAGCTATAAATTATAGCCTATATAATAGCGTACGTATTGTAAATTTAATCGTCCAATATCCTATTTATACACATGTTAAACACTTCTTTATAGTAATTTTTATTATTATTTTTTTTTATAATCATTTCAAACACATGTATTACATAGTATAATTTTATTAGTATCTACCCACTCAATACATTTGTCTCGATCGTCATTGAAAGGAGTTAATACGATTCGTGATCAATACACATTAATATATAAGTCGCGTGACACATTTGCTTAATTTTTTACTAATCGTTATTACATGTTTTGTATTCTAGGCACCATAGTCTACAACAACTTGATATAATTGATCCATTCTATTAATATCTTTAATTTATACTAGAAATAAATTATGCAGGTACTTTACTGAAATATCTATAGGTATTTCATACATTGAATACCTTCCTACGTATATTATTTGGTAGTTCTGAATAAAAGAAAAAAATTTAATTAAAAATATAATTTTCGTAATTGAATTAAATTAAATTTACCGTTTTATAATCATATATATGCAGGTAAATTTTGCATGCTCTATAATAAAATTACATTTCAATAATAATTCGTGTAATGTGAAAAATATTAAAAGTAGATTTGTTTGGTTACCTATATAAAAATTAATATTGCAGTATATTATTCAGAACGACAAGTGTATTCATTTATGTAGGTAGTATATCTATCATAAATACAAAATAAAATTCGAATTTTATACATCGTACAAAAAGACAAACTATTAATATAATTAATTACTATTTTTGTTTTAAAACAAATTCAACTATTATTCAGTTATATATTGTTTAATTGATTGCCTTATTCTAAAAAGACAAAAAAATTAAGAGATGAAATAATTTTATTATGTTTAATGAAATATCAACTAGAATGTTTATTTAATTGAAAAGTACACAACCTACCGAATAAGACATAATATCTATAAATAATAAAAAGGTAGGTTCCTATAAACTTTTTTACATGATTTGCAATAGGTGCGTAAGATTAGGATAGTTATTTAACTCAAATTAAGTATATTTAGTTCTTAAATTTGAACTGAACACTATTATACTATAATAAAATGTTTTTTGTTGTAATTGTTCAGCTAATTGAAAAATTGATATATTTGTCAATTATTTGTATGTAGGTTTATTTATACATATATTTTTTTTTTTTGTGGATAAAATTGTTAGACTGAAAATGAATGCTTGGAAATTTTACAATAAGTTCGTTATAAGTTGAACTTAGTGGTAAAAAGAAAAAATGTTAAATGTAATAAAGTATTTAAGATTTGGAGCGGAACGAGGAAGCTATTGGTTTTACTAAGATATTTATTTTATTTTATTTTTTTTTTCTAGTCTGTGGACACGTTTTTTCCTAGTACACTTGCTTCGATTTATACGTGTAACAACTTTTTTTAAAAACTCAAATTGTCTAGATTGTACTTTATATTTACATTTTTGATTGTCGACGCCATTTTTTAAATAAATAAAGTGGGAAAAACATAGAAAAATGTACAATTTCATTATTTTATAAAAAAAAACTCGGATGACGTTTTCTACCAAAAATTAATGATTTAATTGAAAAATCACAAGAAACCTTTATTTCTTTTTAATATACTTTTGAGCCATTTTTGAGCTTTTAAGGAATTTTAATTTTTGGCTGTTTTTTGCTGTAATTTGATTATAAATAGAGACTTGAAACTTGGTAATAATACTTATATTGAACTTACCTAGACGTGGTAACATTTCCAAAATTATCGGACGAATTTATTTTCCTTTTTTAATAAGCGTTTTAAAATCAACCTTAAACTGAAATCGCAAAAAAAAGCACGGCACTTCAAATTATGTATTACCAAATTGCGCTCGTAATCGTCTTTCGTTAACAATAATTAATTATTACATACAAAAATACATTAAATTCTCATCTATATCCTACTTTCCCAACTTCACCTACCCCCACTGTGAACACTTTTTTCATTTTTTTGATTGTTATTTTGAGTCTCAATGATTGTACAAAAATAATGTGACATATCGAATTATATGAGGAATTTGCAGAAAATATCATGAAATATTTATTTTTAAATCCACACAAATATTTTTTGAGTAAGTATAAAAAAAAACCCATTTTTTTGAAGTAGGAAAAATCTTAAAAAAGTTGTAATTGAAAAACCTCATCGATTACGGTATGCTTGGGATGGTACAACTATAATGTAGCACCCTGCTTAATATCATGAAGTATGATTAAACAATCAAAAGAATATACACTGTCTATATTGATATACACGATCTATAAAATTGGATTCGTATACGAAAAATAGTTTCCACTTATGAAAATAATAGAAGTAATTGTATGAATGTTTTTCACTTAATATGACTGATTTGCCTTCGGATATTTTTTAAGAATACATCTTGTTCTTATAATTTGAAAAGTCGTGTAAAAAAGACAGGAAATTAATAATTCGCATTCGTACAAGTTATTCAATTCCTGTATATCAATGAAAAATTAATTTCTCAAACTTCGCGTATCTGAATGATCTTGAATGAATCAATGACACAAAATATTTGATTTGTCTATGATAAGACAATTGTGCACACACTTTTTACAACATTATTAATTATAATGTATAATACATACCCTAAATCACTAATTTTAGTAATAAAGATTTTGAATTTTGTTATGAGTTATTATGATGAAATATCATATAATATTATCTTACATTTTAGATATCAATACCTGTCAAAAAAAAATGTCAAATGCTCAAAAATCGGGAAAAGTTTTAAAAATTTTACAAAGTCTAAAAAAAATTAACATAACTATTCTGTATAAATATCGAATCTCTAATTTTATTTTTAACAGAATTATAAAAAAAAAAAATTGAAAATAATGAAAATAACGGTTATTTCTATACATTTTTCCTTCGTTTTTTCACGGATTTTCAAATTATTCAAAAATCTACACAAAAAATTAACGAATTTCTTACACACCAACTAAACAAAATTTTCTTTCAAAACATGGTTCACTTATATGGTTTTTTCAGTTTTTCCAATAATTTTTTAAAAAAAATGACCTCCTCAGTCCTCAATACACTAACTGGAACCAATATTTAACAAAAAATGCCTCTTGTCATTTTTTGATTGGAAAAGGTTTTCTGGTAAAAAGTTGTTTTTATACAAAATATAAAAAAGACTGTTTTCATCTACCCAAACCCATCCAAAATAGCTGTATGAATGACTGATTCATAGACGAATAATTTTTAATAATACGAATTTGTCCTTTCATATTTCTGTTTACGAATCCTATTCGAGTTTGAGAATAAGTCCTCAGTTCATTATCGTTGAAATAATAGCTATAGTTAATTTTGTTGATTTGGCATTTGCATTAACGGATTGTCTGATAAGTATCAGATAAAAGTATCTATGAAAAAAAAAAGTGTTTTATATTGGAAAATTTCGGCATTTCAGCACGACAAAATGTAAGGCCCGTTCGTTCGTTATACATCGAAAGAGCACGTTTATTGTGCGAATCAAAAATTGTAATCTTATCTATATATATTTTGTCATGGTAAAACTAAAGTAATATCTACATATTATAGAGCTAAAACAAAAAAAGTATTTTAGCGTCGGTACATTTTTTTACTTTTATGAAAATATAAAACATACCATGTTAAAAAAAAATACAATACGTTTGGGGAAAATAAGTACGGTCCCGATAATTCTGGCCATGATTTCATGGTCATATTTATACTGGGCTCACTTAAAAAGAGTAGGAGAACCCCACTAACAACAGTCAAATAAAATTAGATTTATAGCTAGGTATTTATCATAATTCGGAAGAAACGAAATTACCGCTGATTAACAGAAGCTGGATTAACATTAAATGCATGTTTTATTATTTTACATTCCTATCACAATATTTCGATGAATGTAAAAGCTATTCGGTAGTGGTGGCGCAAAAGAGGTATGTTTGAATCAAGTGATTCACAAAAAACCGAATGGGTATTTCGGATGCCTGAGTGTTCAGAAATATAACAAAAATCATTGTTGTTGTTGCAAAATAAAAATCATTAAAATAATTTTAGATTGCAAAAATTTGATAAATTTGTAGTAAGGTTGGTGGAAAATTAAATCCGCGATTCAAAGCAAAAATACTTCGCGCCGCCACTGAATTACCATATCTAACCACTGACTAGAACTCACATACTAAGGTGTATTTGGATTTTATTTGGCTATTTTAGTACTTTATAATGATTTTTTCCCATAAATATTTTTTTTTTACTTTTTAATTTATTTAGCTACATAAATATTGATTATGCGAACAGATTAAAAAAAAATCTATAATGTTCTTATAAATGAAATATCTAATTATAATAATTGTAACAATACAATTTTATTTTAAAAAATAAAATAAAATTTAGAGGCCCGCAATGTTGAAATGATTAATATCTAAATCAGGGCCCGCGTGTTACTATGTCTCTCGAGGGACTCAAACTACAACAAACTAGAATATTATTTATTTATCGGTTTTTTAATAAAAATCACCCTTGTAATCTCTAAATAAATAACCATTTATTATAATATATATGTATGTATAAGATATATAGTGAATTGTAATAGCAGTAGTTACTATACATATGGGTGATACGTCCAATATTATGTCTATTTCGTCAGGTATCTAAAATAAATTTAAACATAATAATATGTGTAAACACAACGAATAGTGGCAAACTATAAATAATACAGAAAAAATATAATTATTTTTCTTCTAAAATACTTGTATTTCGTTACATATTATTTATTTATTTAGTATGTTCATATTATTTGTTCAAAAATGATTTAAGCGTTAATAAAAATATGCCTACGGTATAAAAGCCGTCTTTTATAATAATATATTTAACTCGAATTCTAAAAAAAGCGTAACACAAATGCTAATAATAATATATACCTATTACAAATTACTATATTTTTTTTTAATAATTTATAATATACATATTAGTTGTATATTCCATTAAACTTACGAATCTAATACAATACATTAAAAAACATAAATTATAATAATACAATAAACTATTTATTTTTTAACGTAATGTATAATGTATATATTATATTGATAAGATTATTGATAAAGCTATATAAAATTCAATGCGTACAATTATATTTTGTTCTATCATAATAGTTTTAAAAAAATAAAACAAAACTACTATTTTTATTTGTATTTGTTAATAATAATGAACTAAAATGTAAGTTTAATAATACCAAAAATAACCACTGCATATTATAGACATAATATTATAATATCAGGTACCTAATTATTTTATCATTTTCATGTAATAATTGATACTGTGTTGTATATATATATACCGTAATAATATTATCATACTTTTTTCACGTAACTACCTATGTGTGTGTTTTATTTTTTTTACATGATGTATGTGAGTATCCGTAAGTACTATAGTATGTTATATTGTGTGTACGAGTGAGTGTGAGTACCTAAATATTGTATGACTTAATTTTATAATTGTATCAAGACACCTCATCACTAATGTTTGTTTTCTCCGTCTGTCTCGCACGTAACAGCGACAATAATAAAAGAATTTCGCATTTTTATACAATTGTACAATTGGGCGAAGGTTTATCAATATAGGTAAGCGCGTTTTAATTTGCTGTTAACTTAAGCAGTGAATACCGCGTATTAAAAAATTAAAACATTAAATATAACCATTCGTAATGTTCTATGGTAAATACTCTTCCTTACAAAATTTACTTTAATAGGTCCCGTTTGGCCACCGACTCGACCAGCAAGTAATAACCATAGAAATGCAAAATGCCTTTGTTGCTAAATTCTGTGCGAGACAGACGGAGAACACAAATGTTAGTGACGAGGTCCCTTAAATACATTTTTGTTTTCTAATTGTAACTATATGTGTATGCTCTTTGCGTGATAATTTAGCCTATACACTACGATAATATTATTAGAATCGCCAACATATTATTTCGATTTACAATACAGTTATTAAAATATTATATTATAATATCGATTCATGCAAAAGCTTCTTTGTATATAGGTATTATATATAGGTTTATTATATTTACGACGATAATTATTACTCCCTAAAAATGAAGTGGATTTTTAGATCACCACACGTTTAAATAGACCGAGATATATAATATAAATAAATAAATTATAAAATATAACAGGTCGGAAAAAATGTCGACTCGAAATTTATTTTCACCTTTTACAACTTTTGGATATTTTTTTTTTTTTTTTGGTTTTATTTTCATCACACCCTGTTTTATATGTATAGGTAATTTGGTACAGTTTTACGTATAATAAAATAAAATTAAACAATATTATATACTTCATACCGTTATGTCGTTCTGTGTTTATACCAACGACCTATACCTAACGGATACATAATTTATATGTGGTCTATTGGTAAAACATCTACAGTGGACACAAATAATGATCTATAATAATATTGTAGATATTATAGTAGTCTTTAGAATATATAACTATAACGGATATTTATCCACTTATAGAGGTAATATTTTCGGTACAAAATGGAAATTAAAACCAATAATTTAGGAAGAATATAAATAGCATTATTTATTTGTTGTTGTAATATCCTTGTTCTCGGTTTTTCGTTGATTCAAACGACTAATTTGTGCCAGTCAGCGATTTGTCTTCTGGGCGCATTCATTACTTCTTTCCAGTGACGTTCGGCGCTTACTGACGGATTGTCCGGGTGTCCCATCAAAACTCGTCCGATAATCTGCATAAACAATGTTCGTCAATTAATTATTAATTATTTCTCGATTAGATATTAATTATTCAATGATTTATATGCATTATTTGCATATATTATATTTTGTAATAAATATGTATGTTAAAAAGTATAGCCTTGGACAAGATACAACTTCGCTCAGAATTGTATTTCATTAGCAATGATACATCGTTTCATACGAATATATATTAAACAACTTCATGTATTCTACCTTCCCATTTCCCCACCTATAACAGTGAAGCATACCCATCAGGAGTATCAGCATTTCCTTTTTGTATCTATAAACAACTTTTATAACAGAAATCTTACTATAATCAAAATTATATTGGAACTTTCTTATACTATTTTGATCTAGTTGGTGCACTAGGGAGGGTAATTTTTAGATTCTGAGTAAACCGAAGATGCTTATGGTTTTACAAAGATATTTTTTTTTATCTGTGCACAACTTTTATTCCGGAAATTTTGCTCCGGTTTTTAAGTGTAGCACTTTTTTTGAAAGAAAATCGGACTGGGGAGGTACTTAAGGGAAGTTATTTTTGATTTTCTCATGAGTTTTCTCAGCAAATGAAAACATCTGGGAAAACCGGAAAAAAACGTAGTAAAGACGGGAAAATCGGTACAATATTACACAAATATTATTAAAGAAAATATTGTACCTAACCATGCTTATTTAATTATTTTACCATAATATATATATTGTTGATAAAGCATCACTATCAATTGAACTCCGCTCAGTATCGTTTTTTCGTTAGCAATGGTTTATCGTTGCTTACAGATACACATTAAATTGCCTTCTGTATCCTACCTTCCGAACTTTCCACCTACAACAGTGGCTGGTGGCTGCACCCATGTACGAAGTATGTCTGTTTTTTTTATTTTATAGGCAGTTTCATTAGTAAATAAGTTGAACTACAGTAACAAAAATACATATAATCCATCAGACATTGACCTACATATTCAAAATAAAATCTACACCTTCCAAAACAACAACAATGACAAAGTCAAACTTTTTTGGATTCCCGGACATTCTAACATAAAAGAAAATTAGCTCGCTGAACTCGCAGCAAAAGCCGCAATCTCCTCACCACTATCATTGTCTACACAAATCACTATGTCAAAGAACATACAAATTTTGATAATAAATAAATTCCCACTAAGATGGCACCAGAAATGGACATCATACCACACTAAACTTAACCAAATCAAACATAATATAGACAATTGGACGTTTCCCACAGAAATACCAAGAAAATTTGAAGTTATACTAACAAGACTTAGAATCGGACACACTCAAATCTCCCAGTTTTCTAATGGCCAAGGAAGAACCACAACCTATGGCGTTCATGTCACCATCAAACACATTCTCACTGAATGCCGAATATACCAAAACACGAGAACATTTTTCAACCTCACTGATTCAATAGCGGAAATACTACAAAATAACCATCAGTCAATATCCAATATCATCGAATTCATCACAGCGGTCAAACTCCAAACTAAGATTTAAAAACCTATAATAAACTAGATTAATTAGAATAAGTGCACAATAATATGTCATTATCATACACAATAATTGTAAACTAACGGCCCAATGGCCTATGCTGCCGAGGGCCTATTTATTAATAAAAAAAAAAAATAATTTGAACTGTCAAATTTTTGTTGACTTTTGGATTACTTTGACAACAAAGGAAAATATATAACTAGATAATTATAATAATCTGCTCAGAATTGTTTTTCGTTAGCAATAGTTTACCTTTGCATGCAGATACAAATTATTAAACTATTCGATATATCCTTCCTTAAGACTTCTCTCCTAAAACTGTGACATACCCATCAACAGTATCAGCTCGTTTTTTTTTTTTTTTATTTTACTTACTTCGTTTTTAGTGACTCTATCGTGATCAAAGACACAGAACTCAATGCACACGTTATGCAAGTCGACGACTGATGTAGGCAAATCAAACACAAACGATTCATTATAGACGGGATTCAATGTACGTTTCTTCATATGAGTCCTTTTCTTCGATATGCGGGTCCCGTCGACTAAGAAATTGATCTTCACAAACGGATCTTAAATACACAACAAACTCTATATTATTATGTAATAAAATATCTAAAAATAATTACATACTCATATAATTAATACATATTTAAAAACTAACCAACGAATACAAAAAAAAAAATTTTATTTAATTTACTATTTAAAACTATTTTATTGAAGTCCTCGTCAATTTAAAATAAACAACTAGAGATGGGTCAGTGTTCTTTATTCTTCGGTATCAATACCGAGAACGGAAAGAAGAATTTTTTTAATTTTTCAAAAACCAGTCCCTACAAACAACTATTAACATTTTATCATTCGTCAAATTTTTGTAAATTATCTTTAAAAGAATATATACAAAAAATAATAGAAATAATTCTTAGATAACATCCTCTGTTTTTTCTCTTTTTAAATTTTAAAAACTTACCAGCCAATCCAGTCAAATCCATCTTGGGTAAATTTCTAGCCTTCAATACGACTACCGTAACCCTTCTTGTTGCCGGTTGCCAACATAACGATACTAACAATTCTCCACGATTGGCAATTTGGGATTGCTAAAACAAATCGAAATACTGCATCAATTGAAATGCTATTTTATAAAACAAAATCACATTAACATTCAGATAAAAGAAAACAAAATACCATAAATAAATATTGGTTTTAAATGTGCACTAATTCATTTTTAATTAATAAAATAAACATTTTTATTTTTTTTAAATGCATTTAAACGTTAAAAAGTATGGCTATATAAATACGTAAATTAAATTAATGTTCAATTTAAAATGTAACAAATTCACATACTCGTTTAGTTTAATCAAATAACAAATCCTTACAAGTTAACGTAATATTACAAACTAATAAAATACTGAATTACTAAAGTGTGTAGGCCTAGAATGTATCTATTTAAGTAAAGTATTCAAAACTTATCTCGAAACCGCTGGTATTTCCAAAACGATACGACATTACAAATATTCCATTTCTAGGTCAACTACATTATTATAAAAAGAACCGAGAGAAAAAACGTTCAGAAATATATTAATACATTCGTATACTCTTATTTGAACTTATATACAATTTTTGAACTCAAACGAATTACATATTGTGCGGGTATATTTTCCAAGTATATTTGCTGTCGATACTTTTTACGATTACTATTATTTATTTTTTTTTTTTTCTAATATCATGAAATAATATTTGTTCACCTTTTTTAGTACCCAAGATGTCTACTAGTAACCTTTACACAATTTATAAAAATAAAACTCATGTAATACATACTTTTACACTACGAAGTACGATATCTTTTTGAACGGATATTTGTTCTTTTTCAATCGATTCGAGTACATCCTTTTCGTTCAAAGTAAAGAAAACTTCACCAATTAAACTATCTCTTGAATAACGGTCGAAACTCAGTACGGCAAAGTGTAAAGTCATTGACTGAAAAAATTGTATTTTTTTAGTATAACCTTACGAACTAATGTATTAACTATTATTAATTTATCACTTGAAGTTTGTTTGATTGTATTCCGAAAAATGTAAAGTCTTCTTCGTACACCGGATTTCTGGTTTTTCTTAATACTCGAGTCTTCACTTTGTGTTCCTTGTCAGGCAATAACTGCAATTTTACGTAAGGATCGCTGGTACCAGAATTTTTGTCTTTCGGAATCAAATCCATGCATTTATTTATATTCACCAAAAGAACTTTTTTATCTTTTTTATACCTAAAAAATAATAAAATGTTGTCTTTAAAGTTAAACCAGTATAATACTAATATGATAAATATTATTCTTTAATTTCAGTTTTGTTCAGCCTTAAACGGGAACAAAATATATTTATTTTTTCAACACACCATGCAAAGCGTTTCGGAGCAGCCCACTTGCGGCCATCACACCTTTTTTACAGCCCATTTGAGAATGGGCAACCCGAAATCATATCCCATTTGTATTCAAAATATGTTTAATGAAAACTCGTTAAAACCGTGCAACGTTGCCGACTTGTATGCTGGAATACGATTCAATACTATTGTGAACTAACCTTTTCTCACATCTATTTATCTATTTTTAGATTTTACGTTACACCCTTATTATCGGTATATTTGTTTATTTCATCTTAATTGCACTTCGTGGCAGCTCTCTCTGTGAATGCGTTGTGCAACGTTACACAAATTACAAACACAAGTTTCACGTTTAAAAAATGGATTCTAAAATAACAAGTACTACTAAAACCGTCAATGTTGATTTTAAAAATCTATATATACATTACATGCTATGATCAGAATTAAATGACCATGAGCATTTAATCTTGATGACAACGTTGTATGCGAAATTGGTGCATATGGAATATACATAGGCAGGCAGTACTTCATCTTTAAAGCGCATCTGTCCAAATCTTTCGGGGCGCAAATAAGCTATAGCCAAGCGTTTTTATAAACCAAAGCCCAATCAAAACATAATTTAAGTTAACGATCTCTATTCTTTTTTTTGATACAGAAAATATCACTTGAAAAACATCGGAGTCAATATTTTTAATTTCTTATTTTCACCAAAAATAAATACAATTTACAAATCGATTAGATATATTTTAGTACCTTTGATTTAAACTTTATACAGTACAGGTAATTTAATTGTTTGTTTTTCATTACAGGTAACTTGACCTGTAATGAAAAAAAAAGCTAATTAAGTTATGCTACAAACATTTGATTTATTTTTTTATTATACTTAAGAAAAATTAACAAATTTATTTAGAATAAAATTATACTCAATACAATTATAAGATACATGATTACCGGCCAAGTACTATTGAGATATTGAATATACTTAATTTATTAATTAATATTTCCTTCGCCATTAGATTTTTTTCAGTAAACTTTGAGCTTTGATTATATAATAACACAATTTATAAAATAAAATAAACAAAATAAAATATTATTTTAAAGCGCACTAACGTACGTTCATCATAATTACATGCATTGCAATACATAGTATATTAGGTATTATACATTGTCAAAATTGACCTAGGAAAAAATTCTACTAAATCTGTTTATAATTTGAATTATGATTTATGGCATTATTAAAAATACAATTAATTTGCATTAAAGTGATGGCGAATAGAGTGTCGTGATGTGATGGATTATACTGCAGCTGTTAAGTTCGTGTTAGTAAAATGTATATTTTATTGCACTTACCGAAGTTTGAAAAAAAGTACTCCCATTTTACCAGGCGAATCATTTTGGCCGGTTTCGGTTTGTGGTTGGTTATTTTTCGACGATAGCTTGTTATCAATTTCATTTTCATGGACAACTCTACAAATAAAAATGATTATTATTATTATTATTATTATTTTAGATTCGGAGCTTAACGAAAGATCTATTGATTTTTGTTTACAATAATGTGTTTTTTTTTCAGATTCTGGCGTAGTAAGGAATACATAAGTTTTACTATGGTTTATATTTTTTGTGTTAAAATAACTTTTCAACCAAAATTCTTGCTCCGATCGAAAAATGACAAAAGAAATATATTTTATTGCATTTTGGATCTAGTTAATGCATTAAAAAGATCATTTTTTGATTTTTCGTACAGGTTTTTGATAATTGAGCAAAATTTAAAAAAAATGTAAAAAGAATGGAAAATTTTACAAAAATAATAGTTTTATTATTATTATTTTTTTTTTTTTTTGGTTATTGCTGTAAGTCAGTTACAGATATTCGAAGAGACTTGAAATTTTTCGTTAGCTGATTTATCCTTGATTACAGGTACAAATTAAATACATTTATGTATTCTACCTACAACAGGATCGCATCTATTAATAATATCAGCTCTCTTTTTTTCTTTTTTTTTTTTAGTAAATAAATATAAAAACCGATGGGCGTATGCACTAGTTAGCCATTTTAGTTGATTATTTTGTTATACCCAACTTTATGTTTTACAAGATTATGAACACCGAACTGTTTCAAATATCATAATATTATTAGTCTATTACCTTTGTCGCTATATTATGCAAAGCCCTTCCAAATAGTTTTCTATAACCCCTTTGAATATCTAGTACCTACCAACATATTATACTTTAGTTCATAAAACGTTATTTCGACCATGTTTAGAATAATAATTCTATTCTTTGATCCCCTAAAATTTCCAAATCATATAGTGTTCACGCCCACCAATATTTAAAAATTATTAATGACGTATATTCTTATAATAAATATTTTACCCCAGCGGCCTGAAAATATTTAGAGAAAAAAAAACATTATAGGAGACCTGCCTGTCTAATATTATACTTTATTTACAAACTTGGATAGGTATATTATATTTTTCCCATCAAAATACGAGTAGTAGCTTATAAACTAATAATACATTTCCCTTTTCAATACGTCGCATTTTCCGTCTATTGTAAAAGCAAAGAAAAATATTCTTCGTGAATGTATCATTAATGCGATTTATAATATGAAATATTTGTATTACACATTTTTCTGCAATATACTTTATAACAATATTATAAAATCTCATTAAATTTTCTTAGATATTTTTCCAAATAACCAAAGAATTACGATGACAATGAATTGAAATTATATTTTCCGCGCACCATAGAAAGTTACCTATACAATTTAAAAACACACATTTTATAGGTATAATATTTATCATACGACTCATACTATAAGTACTCATACGTAAGTTTTAAGTATAGTATATAAACTTTCCTTGAAAACAACAATTTAAATTTACTGTAAACTAATTATTAATTAAAGATATTAATTATTATTATCTACTATTTTCATCAGTGATTCTGAAAATAAGAAAATCTCGATCGATTCTATGTTAAGAATACCATAACGCCCTCTTCACGCTATGGTTCTTGGAATATCAATTAATTTACACAAACAATAACCTATTATTACGATACCAATAAGTCGCAAAATAACTTAAATTATTCTAGTCAACCGATATTAACACATTTCGTATACAAAATAAATTAAAATGTCAATATTTTTAATTCGATAATTTGTGTTTTAAAACTATGCTTAAAAATTTCGGAACAACTTCGCACGTGAGTGCAGCTACTGTTGTAGGTAGATAGTTGGGAAGGTAGGATACAGAAGGCAATTTAATGTGTATCTGTAAGCAACGATAAACCATTGCTAACGAATATACTATTCTGAGCGGAGTTCAATTGATAGTTATGCTTTGTCAACAATTTATATATATAGATATAGATGTATCGTATATCATAATAAAGTATAATATGCATTTGCATGACAACAATTATTGTTGGAAAAAAATTAAAATAATAAAAACTTAATAGTAACAAAAAATAAATACAAACGGTTTAAATGACAACCTTATTTTTAACTGTTCAATCTTTTTTAACTTAAATAACCAAGTTTTTCTCGTTATCTCGAACATTAATGAGAATTTCAAAAAATAACCGCTTTAAAGAACATCCCAAGAAACATTTTCTTTCGAAAAAGGTGCTATATTTGATAATCGAAGTATGCTTTCTGTTAGAAAAAGTGTTCACATAAAAATAATTTTAAAAATAAACATCTTTGTTAAACCAATACATTCCTCGCTCCACTCAGAATCTAAAATAAACAAACAATAATATATCAGCTATAATCATACCAAATAATTAGCTCTACGGTATCCCGTCTATATTTACCAGACTCATCTGATATTAATATGTATCTAAACCTTCCATTACATCTTTATCAACTTAATTATCATAACACATCACTACTAATATGACATACTTCTCAAACATCTACGTCACAATTTAATTTACTTAAGTACACTTCCCTTATAAAAAAAAAAATATCAAATTTACATATATACCATAAAATTCACTAATTTATAGTAAGCCTGAATATACTTGCCATCAATCATATTCCAGTTAACCTAACCCGACGTCTAAAAATATGATTACGTCTAAACCTACTTCTCTCTTAAATAATAAAACCTCTTAGGATGCTCTTCGTACATATTTTATGCCTTCCCCGTTACCTTTTACCGTTGAATCCTTTATTATAGTAATAAAAATGTTACTTTATTGACAGTATTGGCTTAAATTCAGGTTTATGAAAATACCAAAATAAAAATAAAATAAAGAATAATAATAACTTACGACAGCGTATGTGTGGGAGGTTGCACAGTTTTTTGTTCACAAGTTGGACTTATGGTCGGTGAATGTCTAGAAATTTTCTCCGATCCAATGGGACTGATACTTCCATCACCCTTATTAAATCATAAAACAAAAATGTTGTAATAAAGAGCATTTGAATAAATTGTTAAACAAGACATACAACAAGTGTTTTACTATCAGTAGGACTAGGACTCTTTTTCAAATAATGCGATCCACCTGAGTTTTTGACCGATTTTATGGCTGTTGGCTTTCTGTGATAAAATGCCAAATGTGGTTCTGATGCAGCAGTGGGAAGTTTGCTTTTATTTTTAAACCACAATAGTTTTTTCTTAGCACAAATGTGACACGCAAAAATTAAAACACTCAGAACCAAAACTGCACTTCCCCCTATGTACAAAGTTGTATTCAAACCATAATCTGAAATAAAACATAATTTATCAATCAAAAATATTATATAATATTTATTACAATATAATATAAGGTTTATTTTTTCAATAAACCTTTAACCAAAATCACATACTCTTACACAACATACGTAATATTTTACTATAATTATAAAACCGTTTTCAATCCATAGTTTAAGTAAAATTAGATTGAACTGCTGAATCAAATATTATTTGAATGAGTTTATATGTTATAACTACTTATAATATTGAAAACTGAAACATATATTTACTATGAATTTTTAATCTCAAAGAAGAAAGGCTAAAGTCACATTTTATAGTTTTCTTATGGAATTCTTTTCAATAATTTTAATCATTTTTTTTATTATTTTCAAAGTTTTTTTTATGAAATTCGCTTAAGTCCTTCTTACATAGAAACAAATATAATAACATGTTATACTAACTTTAATCAAAATATGAGTTTTACTCTATATAGTAAAATACATTGTAATAACTAAAATCAAATTAACAATAATTATACAGTTAATTATCTAAAACTAAAATTAATTAAACTAAACATAAAATAAAAACTTTTTGTTTAAAGATAAACATAGAGGACTCAGTATCAACATTATTGATGTAAAATATGAATTAAGTATCTAAAAGTTTAAAAGATATAAAAAAACATTTTCCTAATTTGAATTAAATAAAGTAAACACGTTTTAAGTAGAAGATAAAGAGAGAAAAAGTTTTTTAATTACAATATTGTTAAACGCAATTTTCTAAAAGGTTTCTGAATTTAAAAACAATACTTAATATAATACAATCTAATCAATATTTAAATGTTTGTTAAAAAGCGCATTTAAATATGAAATCGTGTTTATACGTACTTAAAACAAATTTAATTTTTAATTGAAAGATACAAGAAAAAAACCAGAAAAATCGCTTTTTTTTCAATCTTAGAAATATATGTTTTTAATTTCAAAAATTAACATTTTGTTTATTAAAAAGTTAGTATTAATTTAAATGTTTAACTTTGAAATATAGTAAACAGAATTAAATTATATTTGATAATAACAATCACATTAAATATAACAGAAAAATCGTATTAACTATATTTGAAGTGACTATTCTGTTTTTTCCTGTACCCTGTTACTCTGTATCCTGTTCAACTGTGTACAAAATACAATCACGTAAAATATATTTACCACTTATATTTTTTCTTTTAGTTAACAAATTGACAAAATAAGTTTTGTTTTCAATATTTTTGTTTTATTTTTTATTCAAAACATCATCAAGAACTTCTTCGAGATAGTCAAAATAAAAAAGGCGCTACACTTATGCATCGGAGTTTATTAGGAATAAATATGTCCACGGACTAGAACAAAGAAGAAGAAGACAAAAAGAGAGCTGATACCTAGAATGGGAGAGGCCACTGTTGTAGGTGGGAAGTTCGAAAGGTAAGATGCTTCAGGTTATTTCATTCATGTGTATAAGCAACGATAAACCATTGCTGACGAAAAACGATTCCGAGCATAGTTCGGTGTAATAAATAATTTTAATTGTCGTAGTTTTTTTTTGCGATTTTCGTTTAAATTCGATTTCAAAACGCTTATTAAAAAAAAATTTAAAAAAATATGGTCTGATGATTTTGGAAATTTTACCACGTGTAAGCGTGGGTCTAATATAAGTATTAATACCAAGTTTCAAGTCTCTACGTGTATTTATAACCAAATTACAGAAAAAAAACTCCCAAAAATTAAAATTCCTTAAAAGCTCAAAAGTTTTGGTGATGATACCGTAAGCAATTAAATCAAAAAAGCAACAAAAAAAGTATCCCTGTTTTTATAAAATAATGAAATCCTGAAATTGTACGTTTTCCCACTTTTTCTTTACCAATTTCTTTTATTTAAAAAATGGCATCGGAAATGAAAAAATTACCTCTTTAAAGTACTATATAGACAACTTGATCTTTCAGAAAATTTGCTACACGTAAAAATCGCAGCAAGTATACTAGGAAAAATCGTATCCACAGTTTAGAACAAAGAAAGAAAAAAGAAAAAATTAAATACCATTGTAAAACTCCTCGCTCCCTCGCTACGCTCAGAATCTAAAAATTAGACAATTTTAACAATACCTGTTACTTGGAACAAAAAAAAACGCCCATTGTGCACTTAAAAGTGCACTATTATCGTTACATACAGATATAAATTAAATTTCTCTCTGTATCCTATCTTCCCAACTTCCCACCTACAACAGTAGCTACACCCATTCCCAGTACCAGCTCTCTTTTTAATTTGAAGTTAACAGTGCATTACTTTTGAGAACACAATTGATGTTCTCAATATGGCCTTCTCACCATAATTCTAAATTAAAAAAAAGCTGAACGGGTGTGGCTACTGTTGTAGGTTGGAAGTTTGGAATGTAGGATGTAGGGAAATAATTTATATCTATACGCAATGATTAATTACTTCTAACGTAAAAGGATTTTGAGCACAGTTCGATCAATATCATTTTTTTTTTCAATAATATACGTTTTCACAATAATTGTATAAAAAAACATCAACAAATTATAATAATAACAAAAATAAATAAATAAAACAGTTGCCAATAACAAATTTATTTTTAATTTTTTAACCTTTTTTTAACCCAAAGAATCAGTTATTTCTCATTATCTCAAATATTAAAGTACCAACTAGAAACAAAATTCAACAAAAAAGGTCTCTTGTCATACTTTGATTGGAACTAAATTTCTAAGAGAAACGTTATTTACAGACAGAAAAAATAAAAATACATATTAATAAAACCAATAGATCCCTCGCTTCACTCAGAATATAAAAGTTCATAACATGAAATTTTACCTATTTTAAACATTTAATTTATCATAGAAAAAAAAAAAACAAATAATAAACTTAAAAATTTGTTCACTGAGAAAATAACAATGTAGATACTAAAATATGTATATATAACGCTCACGGCCATCTACAGTTTTAAATTTACACCCAAAATAAAGGCTAATTCTGTTTACCCGTAAAGGAGAATAAATTTATCCCTATAAAAAATAACATTTTTTAAGGTACGTACCCAGTTATGCGCATAATATTCAAATCGGTTTACATAAATAAATTGAATATTGTGGTTGCATAAAATATTTTTTACTAGGTAACGAAATTTGCTGGAAAACAAAATTAAGTAGCTGTCTAGGTAAATATCTACTTGTAAGCCACATACATTTAAAGTTGATATTTTTACGATTATACAAGGTGTTCCACCGTGTTCAACGGATTTTTCTAGAGCTGTAAATATTCAAATTTAAATTTTGTTTTTAATTGGCTTTTTCTTTGATAGAGACGTCCATTTAAAGAAAAATTAAATTCATATTTTCATCTCTAATCACTAAAAAAATAAATAACTTTATTTATTCACTTTATACAATTTTAAAAATAATCATTATTATTAATCAAGATATTATTCCAAAAATTGAAATATATCATACATTGATACCCGATCAATAGTTTTATAGTAACAATCATTTTAATTTATAACATTTTCAATTTATAACACAATAAATCCATTTATTCCGTTACGTCTTAGTCAAGTTGTTCACGCTTTTTCTCTTGAGATTAAAACAGCTGTTACTAAGAAACTATTGATCAAATAACACAAATGTATAATACATTAACATTTTTAGAACAGCGTGTTTTACAAAATGGCTATTTTGAAAATTTTGTAAAGTAAATAAATAAAGTTTATTTTATTTTATAAAGTAGGGAATGAAAATAAAAATGTATTTTTTCTCTGAATTAATGTCACCTATCAAAGAAAAGCAAATTGAAAAAAAATCCTAATTTATATTAATTAATTATAAAAATCCATCAAACACAGCAATGAAACACCTTATATACAGTGCTGTAATAAAATACATTAAATTAGTATCTAAATACAGATACAAATATCTCAAGATACATTTAAAAAAACAGTTAATTTTTTTTATAAATATTTAATCCATTCGAAATATAGAATTACACAATTATAAAAAAACAAATAATAGGTACATAATTTATGATACAATAATTTGTATCAATATTTTTATGTCAGTTTTAAAATATAATTTTACAATATTCTTATAAAGTATAAGTTATAACACAGTCATTTTCATTTATAATACATAATGTATGACAATATTAAAATATTGGTTAAGTATTATTGGTAAATATAAAATAAATAATGGGCATTATCCACTAGTCAATACACAATATTCATACACTCATACGTAATAATTTATAATGATAAATAAATCAGAAAATAATATATATCAACAAAAAATTGTTGAAATTTTGTTTAAAAAGAATTAGATTTTACAATTTTACATTTTATTTTTGAATTTTGTTGAACCAAAAAAGTAAGAATTGTATCTTAAAATGTATCTTAAATACTTTCGATAAAATATTTTGCATCTATAAGATACAGATACAAATACATCTTTTTAGAAAATATCTGTAGATACAGATACAAGATACAAAAAAGTATTTAGTTACCGTATCTTAGAAACATGTATCTAGATATATTACAGCACTGCTTGTATATTATATATACATATGTAAAAGTAATGAATGATTTTTAAGGCGTTTAGAATATTATGCTAAACCTATACCGATAGCAAAATATTACTTATATTTAAGTGAATTTGCTTGTACAAACAATATTATATAGTATTAATTGGCGGATGCCTATTACAAGACGTACGTGAGGTATCTGCGTATACGAATTTTAACTATTTATTCAAACACGAAACATAATTATGCGATACCAAACTTTAACGGATAGAAACTCGAAAGTGTATTAACCGACCGCACGTATGTAATATACAATATAAATGCTAACCTCTGTAATCCGTAAATTTGCACACTGGTTTGTTTAAAAGTACCTTTAAATTCCCTCGCGTCCACGTTTTTTTGTGTAAGTACTTGATTAATTTTTTATTTTTTTTTTATTTTGTTGTTATTGTTGTTTTTGGTTTTGTTAATGAACACTTATTTAGTATGTAGCACGCGTTATAAATGGCGAGTAAATTCACTTTAAATGCATATTATACCGCACAGTAAACTACACGTTATTTTATTTTATTAATTCGGTACAGCAAATACATAATAATATATTCGATTGAACTTAATTTTAATTTAACTAATTTTAATTTTAATTTTCACCGTATTACACAAATTTAACGAACTACTCGACCAGGTGATTAAAAGTTACGTTTCGTGGTATACACACTATTATACTGTTTACGTTTACATTAATTAATAATGTCGAACATCGACAATTCCCCTCTCCCTCATTAGAATTTCTTTGTAAGCGCAACAAATCGCATTAATTATTTTAGATTTCGAATTCGGTTGAACTGTCAGAAATAATATTATTATACGTGCGACGAACGTATCCAATCGCTTGTCGCCCAAAATGAATAAGTTTTCATATTCGTCGTTACGTCGATTAAATTTTTCTTCAAAGTTGGACGCAAATTTTCTACGTTGTGCGTTTACAGACGTATATAGCCGTAGACGGCGTCCTCTTAATATTTAGGTACTATCTATAAAATCGTCAACTACCTATAAGATCGTCAAAAAACGCGTTTTTGATTCCAAAACAAGAATATCTATATAATTCCGCGGTGGGCAAAAACTAAAATTATCGGATTAATTTAAAAAAAAAAAACCCCAAACGCGAAACATTAAACACATACTGATCATTATATTATAATATAATAAAAAAATGTCTGACATTAATATAACTTTATATCGATAGAATGTCAAATCGTTTGCGTTTCGTACTTATAAAGCGGTTTGATAATAATTTCCGTGCAGGTATTACGTATACCCGGTACTTCGAACGTAACAAATTTATTTTGAAGCAATTTGATTGAGAGCCGCGACAAAAACACTCGAAAAACGTATACGCTCGCGGTATTTTCGAGAGATTTTTCAAAATATATCTCGACAGTTCTCGGGTAACATACGTCGAGGTGGCACGCTATAAGTATTATGTCATCATTACGGAAAGTTTCAAATGTCAAAATAAATAAAATATTTATAAAACGATCGCGACCTTCGAACTTCACGTCGCGGTTCGATTAAAAATCGAAAAACGTCCTCAAACCGACCGTATTATAATGTAGCTTCGCGCGCACACGGCGCACGAATTTCATTATGTCTATGTCAATATACACAATATATTATAGCGTATACGATACGACGACGTGTTATAGTATTATAATTATAACCGTTTGTTGAGTCCATCGCGTACATCGCATATACCCAGTGGCCTTAAATAAACAAGAAGCAACCTATAATTTACCTAATTTACCCACCACCCATATACCCGTCAATATTTCACAACATTTTGATTATATTCCTACACATACCCAATAATATATACCCAATATGTTCGCTTTTTTTTCTTCTTCTTCGTCACCTTAACTTAGAACCAGCGCTGCTATAAAAATCTCCCTCCATCTCTCTCTTTCTCTGATACGTTGTTTGCAAGGTTACACTCCTGTCTATCATTACTAAATCTTTAATAACTATACGACAATCCATCGGGTTTTGGGTCGTCCCGAAGATCTTGTTTTATTTATTTTGTTGACTAAATCGTCTTTAAGTAGCTGGCCATCTGCTCTCCATGCGAGTCCGAACCATTCTAGCCATTTTCTCCAAATAAAGGAAAATATGCCTGCAGGTTTAATACATAGTCTTTTTATATTTGCATTGTTTTTTCTTTCATATGTCTGTATTCCCGGGTTAAAAATTAGCCCGTATATATTTCGTAAAACTTTCCTTTCGTGGATAAGTCTAATGCAGTCGTATTTAGTCAATAACTAAGTTTCGTACACAAAGGGTTTTTAAGGTGGAAGATAACAACTATGATATACAAAAGAATCTTTGACTCTCTGGATACCAATTTAGATCTCAAGAGTTTCATAATACTGAGATAACATCTATTTCCACTCGAAATTTGTTCTTTTATTTCTATATGAGTGTAATTTTTGCTATTGACATTAAACGCCAAAGTATTTGAAATCCTCAACTTCGCATGTTTTTAGTAAATTAATAGTTAACGTGGACTAATATTTTATTCGTTTTCATATTGAATAACCACCCACCTCTAAATCATATATAAAAAAAATCTAAAAGCAACCGTTTTTTAAATACCTGATTCGTTTCGCCACTGCATATACAATAAAAATTATGTTCACCAATTAACAAAAAACGCTCTATACGTCACAATGGATCAGTTAGATATCTGCACAAATACGATTTTCCGTTCGGTAAAAAATTACCACTCACAGCGAGATGACAATTCTTTTACAGCAATAATCCAGTTTCTCACAACACAATTATACCAATAATACGACTGCAGTTTGATAATTTTCTCGCACGAAAAGACCTTTTTTTTTTTTGTCAACCTATTTGTCCGGGACTCGGGAAATTCTAAGATATACGGTCGCCGAGTTTCCATAGCCTTACAAATTTTTTATTTTTAACGTAGACGTTAAGTTAATGGAGAGTACGGCTTTGCCCTTAAATCCGTCATTCTTTATACTCGTGTGACAAAACGACAACAACCTTAATCACATTGAAAATATAGAAACATTTCCCCGACAAGCATATGGCGGCAAATTCTTCAACGCGTTTAGAATCTCGAGGGGGTCGGTCTCAAATAATAACAGTCGGCTATCCTGTCTATAGTGTTTTATATGAAACGGCCAACAAATTACAATAGTATTTTATAGTAGAAGAATGCCTTCAAACCGATATCGACTGTAATGCGCCAGTACAGGGATATGAAAGATTCGTCGATGACGGCGTAGCGACGATGAGGAACTTTAGGTGATCTAGTGTGGACGGACGAGTAATAGTCGACTACCATAAGATATCCGTAATAAAGTTGCAATTTTATATTCAGGTTTCCTTTGTTTTGCAAACGCGATTGAAATGAACGTTGTAATTCGCTATCCCGCTATGCACATAACACGCGTCCTACGCATCGCCGTCATATTATCTGCAGCAGTCACTTCCGGTTCCGAAATATTCCTAATGATATTATTAACAACCGACGTTCTATATTATAATATTTTATACTGAACACGAATTAGATAGGGGAATACTTGTATTTTTTTTCTTGTTTGCCGATTTGGTTTCGCCCTCGGTTTTTCTCTGTTCGCTATAATTATTATAATAATACGTCATATTGTATTACTGCGCAACAGTCTTAAAACCAAACGAAATCGATATTATCGTTCCCTCGTAACTTATAATATATAAGTAAATATGATAACGACCTCGCGCGATACTTATAATAAGTGACTACACATGCGGGTGCAATACGATGTTAGATTCAAGATAAAATTGATATCGAATTTTCTATACGTACAAGGTAACATAAATAAGAAAATATTTTCAGCGGAAACAATATTTTAAAAACAAATATCGGATTCAGTCTTGATAATCGGACGCGTTTTCACCGTGTTCGGCTATATAATATTTCATTATTGGATTGTCGCTTTCAAAATATAGTTCAACATAATTGAACCTTCCGACAATATTGTCGAAAATTTTAAAAAAAAAACTCGTCGACGATGATAATAGCATAATAATATTATATTATATACGTAGCGCGTAAATCGGACCGTTTAAAGTTATCTGTAGTAACGGATCGGCCGTATTTAGTGGCGGCGTAAACCGGTATCTATTATAAAGCAGCTGCTTTGTGAATTAATTAGGTGCGGGCATGTGTGGCAATTTATAATAATTCGCAAGATGTGTTAGCGAAAAAGGTAAAGTACTGGAACATAAATACTAAATAGTATACACATCAACATAATAGAGCCTCAGTTATAACCCCCGATTTTACTGAAACTGCATCGTCGGAAAACAATTTTCACGCCGTCACTGGCCGTATTCGTCACCTTTTCAAGAACAACGTGTACGAGAAGCGCACTCATCAGACCAAACATACAATGCCGACGACAGTGGTTTCGTTTTGGGGATTGAAGATTATTGTTCGTCGCAATAAATATAGCGAATAAATAATTAAATTTTTAATTCAATTAAAGTGTAACGGAAATAAATCGATTTTAATTTTCACCCGATTTCTGTTTTTGAACGTCCGGGTTTTTCAACAATCCGACAGTACTGCGCGGGGTCTGTGTCGGATTATCGGGAGTTCTACCCCGAACAAAAAAAAAAAAAACTGGCGTACCAACGTTTAATTTTTATGTCCGATCACGCATATGGATACGTGTAACGCTCACGTAATTTGTTCCGATCGAAATGTTTCAAGTTGAAAATAACATCGTTATCGCAATCGTACGGGCATATCGAGTCGTAAACCCCGTAAATTAAAACAGGCCTAACCTAAACAAACCCGGCCTAACCCGATCGTATAAACACGCCGCGTAACACGCCAATCGCCCGACGCGCCGTAGAAATATTTTTTTTTTTTTTCCTGAACGAACAATTTTCGCATTATAAACGTAGTAATACGCGATTCCGTCGAACCGAGTTGTTGTTGGGTTTTTTTTTTTCTATCGAGACAGTGCCGGCTTTAATACGATCGTAAACAGGAAACGAAGGACGCGTGTAAACAGATCATTGGGATCGGGGTGTGAGGGGTGAAGGTGGGGGTAAATAAAACGGGAAAAAGCACCGTTTCTATATACGAAACACTACGTCGTCGACTCGGTCGTGGTTTACGCCGAACCTTCCGTCAACAACAAAACCAAGCCACAATCACGACCCGCGTGATAACGATAATATTATTATTGTTGTTACTATCGAGACCCGTCGTCGTCGGCGGCGTTGGGGCACGGAATCAATCGATTCGGCCGCGAATCCGTGCTGACTCGCGCGGATACAAATATGTTACGCGTTTTTGTCGTTAAAATATCGAATATTATTTATTACCGATATTATACAGGGTACTCACTGGCGAACGAGTATTCGGTTTTTTTGACCACAGGTTGTTCGGACGGGTCCTGCGGGTACGCGGATCCCACCGAAGGCATGGTGGCGTCGGCGGCGGCGGCGGCGGCGGCGGCGGCAGACAAGTGCTGACGCGAGTGTTCGAGGACGGCGTGTGGCGGTGGTGCCCAGTTCGCCCGAAAACCGTCGGACTGCGACTGGTCGGAGACGGCCGACTACTGTGCGCTTCGGGCGGGCCGGGGGCGCGCTCGATAAAATGAACGATGTGCGCGTTTTCGAGCGCCGCGCGCGCCGCCGCCCGATGGCGACCGTGGGCACGCGCACACACACAAAGGCCGCCCGCCGTCACCGCCGCCGCCACCGCCACCCGGCACACTCGGCGGCACACTTGTTAAGCGGCCGCGTCCGCATTATTATTTCCCTATTTTCCGTACGCGTTTTTCCGCCGCATCGTACCGTCACCCGGCTACCGTGCAAATACACGCCGTTGTCGCTTGACGTAGGAAAAATGCGGCCAAATGCACTTATTATTCGAGGGGAGCTTTTTTTTTTTTTTTTTGCTGATTGCGGTGCAGTACACACATTCATACGAACCTAAAAATTAAAAACGGAACTGTAATTAGAGCCCGTTCTTAAATTTGCCGGCAGTTGAATTTGCCGTAAACTGACAAAATTCTGTCGGTTAACCCTCGGTTATCGCTAACAAATACTTTATGTGATATTGTAAGAATCTGATTTAATCTATTAGTTCGTACCTACTAGTAACACGTAGAAAATCTGAAGATACTTTGTTTAATAGGGGATTCAAAATCATTCTCTAATTTTCTCTGTCTCCGTCACTAAACAGATTTGACTGCTCTTAGTAAGAGGGTAGATAAACAGAAAAAAAAAAGGTCATTTTTAATTAGAAAAATTGTCTGGATTCAACACTGGTCTAAACTCAACAAGAGTGTCGCAATCATTAAAATGAAGAATACCTTTGTTGCTATATTACAAACAGAGAAAACAAAACATCGAAGTGATGAGACCCCTTAGAAATAGTAACTATAAAACTATTCAGAGTTTTTAGTTTTTAAATTTAATATCGAGTGTTTATGACGTTCTTGAGCGTTACCTTACGTTAACTAACGTAATATCGAAATAATACAGTGAAAACTTTAAAAGTTTGTTGAAGACTATAATTGGCATTCAGATTAACAAAACGATCTTTGGTTGGTTAAATAGTTACCACACCAAGGCCGCTAGAGTTGGGGTAGTTTCGGTGTTCTATCGTATATTTTATAAATGCCACTTTATTCTAGGCAGTAAGGCAAATTTATAATGATACAATATACTAATACTAATTCATTCATCGTTATCAATAAAAACTAATTAGTGTACCTATACTGTATTACTATACATTATACGAATATGACTAAAAAATAATTTTGATCTTATAATCGCATACATGCGTACACTTTCCCAATACATAATTCGCCATTTTTGTTTGTTTTTACATCGATGTTTATGTTTATTCTATTATTATCTATATTGTTATAACTCTTCATAGAATGGATACATTGAGTCTAGCTCATATATTTGAATATGTTCAATATGTTCACCGAACTCGCAACTAAGTGTGTTGAAGTTGAACATGTACTTTTGAAGTAGTATATTTTAAATTATTAGGGCCATAAGGTATTATAATATAGGTACTATACTTGCATATATTTTATTTTACTATATAATTCTGGGCCTAGATAATGTTATACCCAAAATATTCAACAATCTTAACACAATATCTATAATTTAATTTCAAACTATTTTAAAAGTCTATAATATAAAAACGGTATAATAATATATAAGTACCTATTTGTAACCGTTGCTAACGTAGTACGATTCTGAGTGATTCTGTTATAGATGTTTTAAAAAAATTATGGATTTTATCAATATGTATACGATTATAAAAAAAAATGAATACATCATGCTCAACTTTTTTTTAACCGTTAAGTACAACTTATATGAACTTGTAATGAACAATTTATAGTATTAAATTTTAAAAAATTCCAATTCAAATGTTTCAAAAAAAAATTTATCTTGAGTTATTCTGTAAAAACATTTGCACTTTACAATAATTTTTAAACGATTTACAACAAAAAATCCAAAATCGAAAATAACCGAATTATTTTGCCGTAACTTTCTCTTATATCCTAGGTTTGAAACAATCAGAGTCAGAGGATTAAATGTTACAAAATAGGCTATTTGTGGCTCCAAGCCTTTATTTTAGGTGTGACCGCAATTTAAGGGGTGGGTATACCCCCTAGCATTGGTAGTTCAGTATAGAACATTGTACATTTTACAGTTAATATAAGCAGCAGTAGACATAATACGTATTACAAATAACGAGAACTAGTCTATTCCTACACGGCCACAGGGCCCATAGAATTACTGTATGACTGCCATTGCATTAATAAAATCAGATAACTATTTAACTATAATAATAAATCTATAACTATTTAATTAATAGTTTTACGATAAATAACCAATAGTATCTAAACAATTTCTAAATCTACAACAGCAACTGTAGCTGGTTTACAGTGTACGCATGCTATACATAGTGAAAACATATGCACGATAGTATCATTATTATTTAACTACTCTTGGTTATATCCGAGATTATATTTTTTCATAGTAATAGAATAATATAATTTTGTATACATTTAGAAGATAACAAATATTATGCTAATCAAACGAAAAACAATGACAATATATTTATATTAAAAAAGACGAACATACTTAGCAAGATGGACGGGCCACAGTTGTAGGTGAGAAGTTGGGAGGATAGGATAAAAAGAAGAATTTAATTTATATCTATACACAACGATTATCACGCTAACAAAAAACGATTCTGAACAGAATTCGGTAGTACATGTTTTAAAAGACCATAGGTAATATTTACAATTTTCATTAAAATGTGATATTAAAATTCTTATAAAATAAATACTATATTAAACTCGTGAATAAAAACTATTTATAAAACTATCAAAATTTAAATTTCTAAAAATAGCTCAAAAATGGAACAAATGTTTTCAAAATTTGACCACGTTTAGAAAAAAAAATACTACACTACACTAAGTTTAACTTAAAAATTAAAACCTTTAAAAACGTATACAAATTTATAATAAAACCCCAAAGAAAATCAAAAATTGACGTCTTTATTGCACTAACTAGAAAAAATTACCTTTCAGAAAAAGTGATACATTCTATACATTATCTTACAAAATCTTACTAGAAAGATATTTTAAAGAAGTAATTTTTGATTTTCTTAAGAGTTTTCCCAGGAAATGTGAAAAACCGGGAAAAAACGTGGGAAAACGTAGAAAAAACGGGAAAATCAATACGATATTAAACAAATATCTATAATAATGTCTATTTAATTATTTCACTATAATATGACGTATATATTGTTGACAAAGCATCGCTATCAACTGAACTCCACTCAGAATCCGTTGTTAGTAAGCAATGGTTTATCGTCGCTTAAAGATACAAATTAATTCCCCCTCTATATCCTACGTTCCCAACATCTCATCCAACAACAGCGGTTGCACCCATCGTGCGAAATATTTCCGTCTTCTTTATTTTTTTTTCTAAATGATTGCTCCGTCTCGGAGACGCAAAACGCATCGTATTATACGAACCGACGCGGTCGCTGGCTCAATCTGCTGCCTGCAACAACGTGTACGTTTTCGACCGCGTTGCGGCGAAAACGCTAGACACGACCTCGGCCTACAACCGTAAATGTACCCGCCTACGTAAAATAGTAATTATAAAATATTTACCGGCGTTTAAGAATAATAATTATAATAATAATATTGCGTGTCCGCCCGTTTCCATTCGTTCCGTTTTACGGCGTTTGCGCGGCTACAACAATGATATAGCGACCCCTAGCGCGCCCGTCAGTTCGCATTTCGGCAACAACAAAACGCTTTTCCGACGCGCTACGAGTACTGAGCGCACGGCGTCACCGTTGTCGTTTCGACACGTCTACAATTCGGCGGCGGCTCGCCAAAGATCGCTACCGTTTATAATAGTGATCATCGCTCGAGGCCCTGGTGATCTATGATTCTATTATAATATATGACTGCGATAAATTAAAGACGGATACCCAATTATCGACGCATATTATCGACCCATATTATAATATGGAACGAATATAATTTTAGGTCCGCGTGGTGTATTTGCTGTTGATAGGAGGCATACCTATCAATATTTCTCTTTGTCGCCCGGATATACTACAATTCCTAATAATATTATAATGCATTTAATATATTTTTCTCTCGGAGTAAATTATGAACACCCCGTTTATATTATAATTTTCAAAACATTCGTCTCGACATTTACAAGGCACACCATTGGCGTCGTAAACTTATTTTTTTCTATATATGTAAAGTATAAGTAAAATCACAAAAAACCTAATACAACCCAAGCCCAGAAGAATCAAGAGCTATACCTAAGACCATTAGATGTTCCTGGTTTTTCACATTTTTCGCTAATATCGTATGATAAAATATCATGCATATACCCACCTAATTTGGTCGTGAAACAACTAGGATAAAAGCCCCCATTGCCATAAACACCAATATATTATAATATTTTTTACGCCCGTTAAATCCGTTCACGCTGGTTAAAAAATATTATTTTTGACGACGGACCCGATTTTATTACTCGACTGTTTTTGTAATATTTTTATCGTGTGTAATATTTTTTTGTTATAAAAAACGTTTGGTTTTAAAAAAAAAAGTTTTGTTAAGTACCCATAATATATGCATAGCTTTTGAAATATTAACGTTATTTTTAAAATGTGTAAAGTTTATAATTTTTCGAGTGGAATGAACTCAATAATTAAATATTTCACGACTTAGCCATCTCTAATACATGTTATATTTATTCTTCCGGTGCACGCAATTATAAATATTTTTTAGGAAACAATTGCTTTCAGTGGGCGAGGTAGATTATTCAGAGCCCAAGTATATACCTACATTTGTACTCGATACGGTTTCTTTGAGAAAAAAAACATACCTACACATTTTTAAAACAAAACTACCTATAATCAAAAGTCTTATAGATTGTGTACCCATTATAATTATATTTATTAAGAAGAGAAAAAAGCTATTGTTGATTATTATAACTTTTAAATTTAAACGTAAATAATCTAATAAACGACACTATA